ATTCTCAGTACTAGCTCTTAGCCTCAAATCAGTCATTTTTGCCTAATCTGGGATTCTGGAGTTTGTTTCATGACTGATGTACTATCATTTGACTAAATGCCTTTGGGGAACACAAATCCAGAAATATCACGTCTCACAGCTTCAGAAGTCAGCCCCTTGGGGCTTCAATTTTAGCAAGTAGAACACAGGTCCGTGTGTAAGTATGTGATATGTGTGATATGTGTGTGAAGCATGCATGATGCATGTGAGTGAGTGAGTGTGTGTGTGTGTGTGTGTGTGTGTGTGTGTGTAATACGTACCACAGGCTCTGGGTAGGAATCCAGGCTCCATCAAGGAGAAACCAAGAGATTTACAGTTTAATGGCTTTCAGATTAAGCACTGAATAAACATAAAGTAAAAGTAAAGGCCCTCCTGTTGATCATCGATTTGCTCGAGCGGGCCCAGTAACGTCTCCATTGGAGACTTTGTTGTTACTGTGTTTGGCATATCGAATACGTCACGGGGAGCTTGCCAGGCTCTGCCGTGCGGGCGAGATACTCTCGGTAGCTTGCCGGGCTCTCCGAGAGGGGCGGAGAAATCGAACTCGGGTCGGCCATGTTGGCTGTGTGCAAGGCAAACGCCCTACTGCTGTGCTATCGCTCCAGCTCTGAATAAACATAAGTTTTTGTAATATCCCACTTTTCAAGAAAATAAAATACAAAAGCCTTGAGGGAACTAAGAGACAGTCCCCACACTGGAAACTTTTCCCCAATTGAAGGCGAAAAAATAAATGAGGCGAGTGAAGAAAGATAGTAAGGCCAATAGAGCACTTGCCTTGCATTCAGCTGACCTGGGTTCAATACCCAGCACCCCATTAGGTTCCCTGAGCACTGCCAGGAATGATCCCCGAGTGCAGAGCCAAGAGTAATCCCTGAGCATAGCTGGGTGTGGCCCTCAGCCCCCTAAAAAAGAAGAATTAAGTGACTTACATACTCTACAGTGGGAAGCGCAGTAGAGTAGGCCGACTAAATATAGTATGTCCTCAATAAATAGTTGTGGAATGAATGAACTAGAGGGAAGTAAGGTGGTAGGTATCACCTGGCCTCTGGAGAACCAGCCCTGTGCAACATTTCCTGGAAAAACAGGAAGTCTGGATAGGGCAGATACGGATAAAAAGATGATGGTTCAATTTAGTTCACCAATTTGTCACCTACTCACTTTGTGCCAGGCTAAGTACCGTGAGTAAGTCCTTCCTTCAGGGACCTGCAGGTTCCCTCCATAAACACAGCCCTACACTGTTGCACTCCTCGGGGCCAAGCCCAGTCCACCACCTTGTACTAACACACTCTGGACCTTGACCCTCACTAGGACCCTCTGAGTTTGGCTGTATCACTTCCCCTTTATAGAAGAGAGACAGAGGCTTAGAGTGACTCAGTGATTCATCAATAGTCAAACAGCTCGTCCGTGACGGAGCCAGTATTGAAACACAGCCAGCTCACTGAGACTGACCGACCTGAGGTGTTCAGGTTCCTGGAAGAAAAAATAATTGACTTTGCCCAGAGTGTGTCTGGAAAATCTTTCCTGAGCTAGTTGATGTGTGTGATTGGTTGGTAAAGAAAACATAGATAGTGCAGTGGCTAGGGTGTTTGCCTTGCACATTTTTTTTTCTTTTTGGGTCACACCCGGCGGTGCTCAGGGGTTCCTCCTGGCTCTACACTCAGGAATCACTCTTGGTGGTGGTCAGGGGACCATATGGGATGCTGGGAATTGAACCTGGGTTGGACAGTGCAAGGCAAACGCCCTACCTGCTGTGCTATCGCTCCAGCCTTCACACAGTTAACCTGGGTTCAATCCCCAGCGCCTGGTATGGTCCCTTGAACCCACCAGGAATGATTTCTGAGCAGAGTGCCAGGATGTGGCACTCTGAGCACTGCTGGATGTGGACCCCCAACTAAAAACAAAAGAAAAAAGCAGACGCACAAAAAGTGGTTTCTGAGGGCTCCCCCACCTCACCTGTCAGCCTCTGCTGACCCCCCCAATCCCAAACCAGCCACGCCCAAGAGGCGTGGTGATGAATGAGGAAATCAGCCCTGGAGCTGGAGTCAGTCAGGTCCTACCTGTGTGTGTGTCACTCCCTCTATACCTGTGTGAGGGGCCCACAGGGGCAAACCTGTGGACACCCCCCTTCTCTTTTTTTTTTTTGTTTTTAGTTTTTGGACCACAGCCAGCAACACTTCAAGGTTACTCTTGGCTCTGCATTGAGAAATCACTCCTGGGGGTGCTCAGGGGACAACATGGGGTGTCGAGAATTGAACCCAGGTCAGCCTATGTAAGGCAAGCATCCTACCCACGGTGGCTCCAAAGACACACCCTTCTCAGTCCACTGCAGATGCAGCCTCAAACCTCAGAGTTTTGAATGATGCTGCACTTCTCCCTGCCTGCTGGGAAGGAGACATCTATCTCTGCTCTCCCTAGAGAGAGATCTGCATCTGAGGCTGGCATGGGATTGGAGAGGGGGAGCTAAGAGGCGCCAGGCTGACTGTCCCCACCAACCAGCCTGTCCCTCTGTACAGGGCTCTTCTTTCTGGTTAACTATCTCTGTCTCTGTCTGCAGGGAAGCCAGGATAGCTCGCCACCATGCACACAGCATTGTATAGTTACAGACAAGCATAGTATATGCTTATAAACTAGGCTGGTTTATTGTTTTGGATCCACACCAGACAGTGCTCAGGGCTCAATCCTGGAGGGGTTTGCAGGATCCTATGTGGTGCTGAGATCCAACCTGGGTCAGCTGCTTGCAGGGAAAGTGCCTTGTCTGCTAGACTATTGTTCTGGCCGCACCAGTACTAATCTAGTCTTTTTGTTTTGTTTTGCTTTGGAGCAACAGGATGAGACTGGCTATTCTATTCGCTAAGAGGAATCAAAAGAGCTATGCTTGGAGTATCACGTTTCACTCAAATGAGAGAAAGAATCCAGAGTTCCGACCTCCATCGACGGTCAAGAATCAGGGATGCTGTCTTGTTTTCCAAGGAGTCGAAAATCAGTTGGGCTGGACACGTAATAAGATTTGGAGACGACCGCTGGACTGGAGCCATTACTGACTGGATTCCACAGGAGGTCAAAAGACCGCATGGCCGCCCACCTACGAGATGGTCAGACTTCTTCGTCAAGACCCTGAACGATTGGTTTGAGGCTCTTCGTGTTCCTAGAATGAGCAGACGCCATTGGGCTACACTAGCACGCGACAGGGACAAATGGAGACGTTACTGGTGCCCGCTCGAGCAAATTGGTAACGGAATGTCAAGTGATCAAGTGATCAAGTTGCTTTGGAGCCATAGCTGACTGTGTTCGGGGCTAACTCCTGGCTCTGCATTCAGGAATCACTCCTGATGGGTTTGGGAATCATATGGGGGTTCTGGGGGTCAAGTCTCGGTCAGCCATATGCAAGGCAAGCACCTTACTCGCTGTACTATCTCTCCAGCCCCAGTAATTTTGTCTTTTGGGGAAGGAGAAGGGAGGTATTTGGGGACTGAGTACTGGGATTATGCATTGCTGGGGATCAAACTCCTGAATGCAAAAGTATGTGCTTCAGCCTTTTGAAAAATATCTTCCTGGGCCCTATTTTTTGGGGGGGGAGTGGAAGGGGGTTGGACCACATCCAGCGATGCTCAGCTGTTAGTCCTAACTCTGTGCTCAGGAATTACTCCTGGTAGTGCTTGGGGAATCATATGGGACACTAGGGATGAAACCCGGGTTGACCACAGCAAGGCAAGAGGCCTACCCGCTGGACTCTCTCTCCCAGCCCTCCCGTTTTCAATCTTTACCTGTAAATATCTATTTAAGTATTTGACTTCCCAACCTCATGAGCCTCTTATTGGGCAAAAATTCTGGTGTGTACGTGTGTGTGTGTTGCTGGGGATTGAACCCAGGTTGCATGCACTTTGCCACTGGGCCATATCTCATCCCCCACCCCAAACATTGTTTTTTGGGAAGGGATAGGGAGTTTGGCCTCTCACTTGTATCTCAGCTTATTTCTGGCTCTGTGCTTAGGGATTTCTCCTGGCAGTGCTTGGGGGAGCCTCTGTGGTGCCAGGAAACAAACCCAGGCTGGCAAAGCAGGAGCCTTCCCCGCTGTACTAGCTCTCTGATCCCTAAAACTTTCTATTAATCACCACCACTGTGGTTTCAGTGTTTTGCACAGTAAACCTCTTTCATTAATACCAGCTTTATTCATATTACTTTACATTTTTTTCCCTAAGAAAGTAAAGGGACAGGGTGGAGAGATAGTACAGCAGGTATGGAGCTTGCCTTGCAAGCAGACAACCAGGTTAGGAACCATATATGTTTCCCTGAACCCCTCCAGGAGTGATCCCTGAGCACAGAGCCTTGGGCACTGTTCTGTGTGACCATAAAACCAAAAAGAAAGAAAGAAATGTCCTGGTACTGGGAGACAACTCATCAGGCTGGGGTACACACTTTGCATGCCGGAGGTCCCAACTGGATCCCCAGTTCCACATGGTCCTCCAAAGCACCGAGTTGGGAGTAGCCCAGAGCACTGTGGGTTGTGGCCAAAACCCAAAAATCCAAACAAAAGAAAAAGAAGGGGCCGGAGCGTTAGTACAGCAGGTCGGGTATTTGTTTTGCGTGCAGCCGACCCAGGTTTGATCCCTGGCTCCCTATTTCATCCCCCGAGCACTGTCAGGAGTAATTTCTGAATGCAGAGACAGGAGCCCCTGAGCATCACCAGGTGTGATCCATAAAGCAAAAAGAAAAAGAATGTGCCGGCGTAGGCTCCCATCCTTTGGGACTCAGGAGCCTCTAGTCCATTCTCTACTCAGGTTTTGATCTAGATGCTTCCTAAAGCTGTCATCCATACAGGCCTTCCAGAATTTCATAAGGCAGATAATAGCCAGCAGCGTGGAGGAAGCCGGTGGCCCTTTACAAGTATGGTTGCAATTGCTTCATTTCCTGTGTCATGTGACTCGCCCAGTGTGGTCACATGACCCGCCCTCTCCGTAGCCGGAATGAACCCGGAGGGCTGAAGCAGTGTGTGTGGGCCACTGCAGATACCTGCATCTCTGATTTTATTTAGGGGATCCTCAATCGTCAGAGGCACTGGGGACCCTCCAGGCTTCTCATCACGGTGACCCTGAGGAGATGGAGCTTTCAGATCCTTCTGGAAAGGTGAGTGGGGCAAGTTTCCTAATTGGTCCTACCAGTCTGTTGATGGCCCGGCCCGGCAGGCTCTGGAATGCAGCGAATGGCAGGCTCTCCTGGAACCCAGGGCAGAGCATCAGGCGCGGTGACGGAAGCCGAGAGGGCGGGAGGGGGTTCTTGGGGGGAAGTGGGTAGAAAGTGGAGATGCTGCTTAGGCTGTTTGGGGCCTAAGCACCCACTACCAGCGCTGAGGCCTGGGAGGGCTGCCGGGTCCCACTCCTCAGAACGCTGGGAGACGGGTCTGGGGGCGGTCTCAGGCAGCAGAGCCTCGCCCAAGTGGGGGTCGCTCGCTGCTTCCAGCCCTCATTCATCCTGCTCTCAGGAATGGTCCAGGCCACGGAGCAGAGCCAGTGTCATGGCTGCCGGTCTCTGGGGGCTGCTTCTCCTCCAGGCAGCCATGGGGGTGAAAGGTGAGTGAGGGAGGAGGGTGGCCCATGGGTGGGGCCTTTCGGTGGGTGCTCGGTAAGCCCGTATGTGTGACCTGGTTCGGGGGGTACAGGGGAGGATTTCGGAAACCTGCTCCTTCCCAGTGGCCTTCTCTCCCCTTTGACCCTTGCCCCCTCCCTCCTCCCACCCCAGGTGCCCAGCCTTGCAGCCCAAAAAGCTTTGGCTACAGCTCGGTGGTCTGTGTCTGCAATGCCACGTACTGTGACTCTCTGGACCCCCTGACCCTGCCTGCCATGGGCACCTTCAGCCGCTATGAGAGCACCCGCAGCGGGCGACGCATGGAGCTGAGCATGGGGAGCTTCCAGGCCAACCGCACGGGCACAGGTACGCCTGCCTTCCCTGCGGGGAGCAACCCTGCCTCTCCCCCCCAGCCGCTGAGCCCTTGCTTTCCTGGCCCATGTGTGCAGGCCTGCTGCTGACCCTGCAGCCAGAGCAGAAGTTCCAGAAGGTGAAAGGATTTGGAGGTGCCATGACCGATGCTGCAGCCCTCAACATCCTTGGCCTGTCGCCCCCTGTCCGGGACTTGCTCCTGAAATCGTATTTCTCTGAGCAAGGTGAGGATGGCGATGAGAGCACGCTCGACCTTTCATTTGATCCTGACCCACTTTCCCCCAGCCCCTTCTTCACTGCAGAGCTTGGGGACCCCTGCGCACAGAGGCCTGTGCTTCATCTAGTACCTGGCCCCGTGGGCTACAGCTCCCCCTGGGCCTGACTCAGATATTGTTTAGGCCAGAGCCTACATTCACCTCTTGACTGACACCCGTCTTGGGTCTGGGTCTGCAGGAATTGAGTACAACATCATCCGGGTGCCCATGGCCAGCTGTGACTTCTCCATCCGTGTCTACACCTATGCCGACACACCCGACGACTTCCAGTTACAAAACTTCAGCCTCCCGGAAGAAGATGTCAGGCTCAAGGTGGGCCTGAGGACCCCCGTGGCCGGGCAGCACTGCAGGTTAAGGTGCCGTGCTGGCACTCGGTGTGCCATCTCCGGAGGAACAGCACAGCAAACCTGCCCCCTGCTGCTGGCGCTGGCGCTGGCGCTGGGGGAGGGAGGGCGGGAGTGATGGCAAGGCTGAAGCACTGGTTGGGCCAGTCCGGCTGTGTTCCAGCACTGGGTGGCTCTCTCCCTGTCTCTAGATCCCCCTGATTCACCGGGCCCTGGAGATGTCCCAGCGCCCTGTGTCACTCTTCGCCAGTCCCTGGACAGCACCCACTTGGCTCAAGACGAATGGGAAAGTGAATGGGAAGGGGTCCCTCAAGGGCCAGCCCGGGGACCAGTACCATCAGACCTGGGCCAGATATTTTGTCAAGTAAGTGAGCCCCAGGGCTGGGGGAGGGCTCCATGGGCGGGCAGGTGCCTGGCATGCAGAGGGGCTGGGCTTGACCCTGGCACCCTGTGGCCCCAAGTACTCCTGTGTGTAGCGCCCCTCCACACCCACCAGACACTGCTTCCAGCCCTTGGCCTGGTTCTGCCTCCAGATTGTTGTTCCTGCTGGGACAGCAGGGAAGGCTCTTGTCTTGAATGTAGCTGGCCTGAGTTCGATCCCCAGCACCACCAGGAGTGACACCTGAGCGCCATTGGTCACAGCCCCCCAAAACACAAATACACAAAAATGCACCAAGAAAACCCAGATTGTTCTATCAGCTTGTCTTTTCTGTGAGCTTTTCGGTTCTATCCCCTGCTCAGCCCCCTAGTCCCCAGGGTGCCTTTCCAGGGGCGGCCTCTCTCTCTCTCTCTCTTTTTCCCTCTCTCCCTCCCTCTCTTGCTCCCACTCCCTCTCTCCCTCCCTCTCCTGCTCCCACTCCCACTCCCTCTCCCCTGCAGGTTCCTGGATGCCTATGCCGAGCACCAGCTGAAGTTCTGGGCAGTGACGGCCGAGAATGAGCCTTCTGCCGGCCTCTTCAGCGGGTACCCCTTCCAGTGCCTGGGCTTCACCCCCGAACACCAGCGTGACTTCATCGCCCGGGACCTGGGCCCTGTCCTTGCCAACAGCAGCCACCGGGACGTTCGCCTGCTCATGCTGGACGACCAGCGCCTCCTGCTGCCCCACTGGGCCCAGGTGGTAAGGCACCCTGGTGACCCCCAACTCCAAGACAGTCAGTCTACAAACTCACCTTCCCCCAGCCCCAGAGCACCCTAAGCAGGGGCCATGTCCAGCAGCAGCCCTGGGGAATTGGGAGTAGTGGGGACCTGCTCCCCACATGCCCCTCCACTGGGGCATTTTTTTTTCTTTTTGGGTCACACCCAGCAATGCTCAGGGGTTACTCCTGGCTCTGCACTCAGCAATTACCCCTGGCAGTGCGCAGGGTCCATATGGGATGTTGGGAACCTAACCCAGGTCTGCCGCATGCAAGGCAAATGCCTTACCCACTGTGCTATCACTCCAGCCCCCACCGGGGCATTTCTTAATTAAAAAAAATTTTGGTGGCCTAGCCCAGAAGTGCTCACTCCTGCTCAAGGATCAATCCTGGCAGGGCTCAGGGGACACTATGAAGTGCCAGAGATGCAACTGGTTGGGCCAGGGCAAGTGTTCCCTGCTGTCCTGTCTCTCTGGTCCCTGAATTATCATTTTAATTATTTTTGAGGGGCTACACTGCTCAGGCTCCTGGTGCATTTTGGGGACTGTCTGGGGTGCTGGGGATCGAACCCAGGTCAGGGTCAGCATGTATAAGGCAAGCTCCCTACCCACTATACTATCTTTCAGGTTTCAGGTCCTTGAGTTACCACTTTAAACCTTTCTGCTAGCCACCCCCCCCCCCCCCACTCCCTCTCTGGTGCACTAGTCCTGCTTCTTCTAGAACCCTCTGTGCAGAACCAGGTCCAAGAGAGTTCCTTTCCCCGGTGACCCCTGCCCTCCCCTGTGCAGGTGCTGGAGGACCCTGAGGCCGCTAAGTATGTTCATGGCATCGCTGTTCACTGGTACCTGGACTTCCTGGCCCCAGCAAAAGCCACTCTGGGGGAGACACACCGCCTATTCCCCAACACGATGCTCTTTGCGTCTGAGGCCTGTGTGGGCTCCAAGTTCTGGGAGCAGAGCGTGCGGCTGGGGTCCTGGGACCGAGGGATGCAGTACAGCCACAGCATCCTCACGGTGAGCCCTGCAGCCCCCCTCCCCCAACCCTCAGGGATCTGCACCTGCCAGTGCTCTTCCGCAGGACCGTCTTCAGGGTCTTGCAGTCTGGCCTGCTCCTCTGGCCAAGCGACCGGGCTCCCTGTAACCCCTGCCCTCAGCTCCCGGGTGGCCTCCGGTGCCCTCTGCAGGCGGGTCCCTCACTGTGCCTGTGGCTCGCCTCTAGAACCTCCTCTATCATGTGGTGGGCTGGACCGACTGGAACCTCGCCCTGAACCCCGAAGGGGGCCCCAACTGGGTGCGCAACTTCGTTGACAGCCCCATCATCGTGGACATCGCCAAAGATACCTTTTACAAACAGCCCATGTACTACCACCTGGGCCACTTCAGGTGGGTGAAGGGCAGGCACTCCCGCTGCACCCGGCTTGCCTTGCCCTCGGCGGGGAACAGGAAGGTGTCTGGGTGGGAGCCTGAGTGAGGCACACCCGTCCCTCTTGCACCACCCAGGCAGGAAGTGACAGGGTGGTGTGAGACACCTGCACCGGGACTGTGGGCAGAGGTGGGGTGCACAGCTGCACAGCTGGCCGCAGGGGTTTCTGGGGGGAGGCTGAGGGGCTGACAGGGGCCAGTGCGGTCTGTTCCCGTTCCAGCAAGTTCATCCCCGAGGGCTCGCAGAGGGTGGGGCTAGAGGCCAACGACAAGACTGACCTGGAGACCGTGGCCCTCCTGCACCCTGACGGCTCTGCAGTCGTGGTGGTGCTGAACCGGTGAGTTGCCCGAGGAGCAGGGGTCGGGGGAGGAAGGGAGCGGGGTCCAGTGCGGGGTCGGGGGACCACGGGGCAGGCACGCTCAGTCTTTCTTCCCTGCCCAGCTCCTCCAAGGACGTGCCTCTCACCATCGAGGACCCCACCCTGGGATTCCTGGAGACCCTCTCCCCCGGCTACTCCATTCACACCTACCTGTGGCGCCGCCAGTGCCAGTGAGGGCCTCTCCCAGCATGCACTGGGCCACCCACAGGGACACAGCAGGGGAGCAGGCGAGACCAGCTGGCGGCAGCACCATCCTCTCTGGTGGGTGCAGGAGAGGCCCCGGGGAAGGGGCCCAGACACCCCAGGCCACCTGTGCTAGGATCAGACTGCTATGCCTGTGGCAATACCACATCAGGGTGGAGGGAGGTGAAGGTAGAGAAGAGACGGGGCAGGTGGGCCCCAGATTGGGACTTTGGGACTGAGACGACCAGAGGGCTGTGGAGCAAGTGTTCTGCACATAAGAGGCCTGCTTGGGTTGATTCCCCCCCTGGCACCACGTGGTCCCCTGAGGACTGCTGGGAGGGACTCCTGAGCATTGCCAGTCTGGCCCCCAAACCACTTTTAAAAAGAAAAGAAAGAAAAACTGGGGGCTGGTGGTCTTTCCTGGAGGTGTAGCCCTGGCACCCCCGGGTCAGCCGAGTGTTGGTTCTGGCACCCAGACGGTCCTGGGCAGTGACTCGGCACGACTGTGGCCCTTGTCAGGAGACAGCCAGGAGCCTGTCAGGGAGCAATTTATTCTGGGGATGGCACCCAGTGTTTGGCCATACCAACAGGAAGACCTGGGGGACCCTGGAATGCGTGGCAGTAGAAAAACCAGTCCGGGGGTGGGGTGAGAGACACAAGGACGAATCATTCCTCTTCGTCCTCCTCGGCCATGCCCAGGGCCCGTGTGCCTGGGGTCCGGGCTGGCGTGGCCCGCTGGATAGAGACGATGCCGCTGAGCAGGGCATAGCCCACCATGGCGGTCAGCCCTGCCAGCACCGAAAGGATCTGGGTCCGGCGCCGGTACGGCTCCTCCTCAGCCTCTGGGCCCGTGGGTGGGTGGCGTGGAGGTGGCCCCTCAGCTGTGGGAGAAGGGCAGACATGGAAAACGAGTGAGTGGGCGGCCTTCTGGGCCCCTGCTTGGCCCCCAAGCCCCGCCGCTCCTTACCTCCATCCCAGGGGAAGTAGAGGCTGAGGATGTGAGTACAGTAAGCGCAGAGGTTGGGCAGTGCCCGCACGTGGGCCTGCAGCTTGCCGCTGGGCAGCTTGGCCTGCAGAAGCAGCGCCAAGTAGCTGAAGACAAAGGCGTCCAGGTAGGTAGGGCTGCCGTGGAGAGAAGGGCGGCATGGAGCAGGGCAGTGGGGGGCAGAACCTGGAGTGAGGCTCAGCTCTGGGAAGTGGGGGTGGGAGCCAGGGACCACCAAGGGAACAGTGAGCACAGTCCAGCCCTGGGTGGGGAGGGGCACCAGAGGCGCCAGCCTGGCCCTGAATGGGGCTCTATCTCTGGGCTACATAAAGGGCATATTCAGTGCCCTCCTGGGCCTGGCAGCCCGCCTCCCTCCCTCCCACCCTCCCCACAGGGCGCCAGGGCCCCACACACAGCCCCACTGTCCCTAGGCCCTCCTGGGGCCTGTCCTGAGCCCGAGGCTGGCCCCTTTCACTAACCTGGAATCTTCTTCCAAACCACCTATGATTCCCCTGGAGTCCCACTCACGTGTCTTCGAAGAAGAATTTCTGCGTGCCCAGGCGCTGGGAGAGAAGGGTGAGGCATTCCCGCGCCTCCTGGTACAGCTGGGGGTGGGGGGGAAGGACACAGGTGGGCTGGTGGCACACCCGGCCCCTACCCTCCCATGCCGCTTGTCCCGCCACAGCTACCTCCTTCTCCAGCTGCTCCTCCTCCTCGGGCCTGTGCTCGCCACACAGCAGCTGCAGGCGCTCCATGTGCTGCCGCTGCATGCGGCCAGGCAGGAAAAAGTTGAGGGGGAATGGCATGGCTTCTGCGTACCACTTCCGGGTCACTTCCACGTAGTTCTTGGCATCCACCCAAAAAGTGTGAATCTGGGTTGGAGGGAGAAGCTGGGCTCAGCCGATGGACCTGCGGGCTTCTGGGTCCCCACCCGCTCGGCCACACTCACCAGGACAGGCAGCAGCTTCTCCTCGAGCAGAGACAGGAAGGCCAACGTGTCTGCCCCCTGCCTCGCTGACAGATCGTAATCTGCATTGTACTTCTGTGGAGGGGGAGATGGTCCATGAGGAGGCGCCCACCGGGGCCCTGGAGCACTTCCTGGCTGCTGCCACCCTCGCTGCCTCTGAGGGTAGCAGAGGTTGCACAGGCAGTTTTTCCCGCTGAGGCCCCTTGGCTAGGCCCAGACAGTAGCCTGTTGCTGTTGGCCAAGAGCCTGGGCCTCGGGGCCCCGCTGGCCGTCAAGGTCCCGCGCCCATTGAGGGGGAGGCAGGGGAGGAAGACCCGGCCGCAGACTAGGAGCAGCTCCCAGAATTTCCACGGAAAGTTGGCGGCATGCCCGCTGACGGCAACGTTCTAGCAGCAACTTCCCCGATCCAGGCACCAAGGAGCTAGTGGAGTGGGGCTGAGATCAGGTGGGGCCTTGGTCCATTGCCTCAGGAGTTGGGGAATGCCATCCTCGTGCTCCTGGAACCCTGACGCTATGCCAGGGCTCCCCCGGCTTCTTTGCCCAAGGCCCAGCTTTTGGCTTACTCCTTGCTCTTCTACTTCATTCCACAGCCCAGGCACCGTTGCACACACATTCCAACCATTCCCCCAGCTCCCAGCCCGCCGCACTCTCCTAGGTCCTCAGCACCACATCCTGAGTAAGCCTTGTCCCCAAGTAACCTCCAGGCCCCAGAAAGTCTCAGTTTGCTGCTTCCCTGCAGAATGGAGGTGATAATTTCTCTCTCTCTCTCTCTCTCTGCTACGGGTAGGGGGACATGGAACTGCTCATAAGGAACCCATCCCTGATAGGACTACTTTGGCTTTTTCCTGTGCCCCAGACTTCCATCAGGCCCCTTGGGAAAACAAATGAAGACAGTCCCACTTCTGACACTGTGAGAACCAGACATGAAAGCTCTAAGGTTGCTGGGAAAGCATCCTGGTTAGATCCTCTGGTTTTACAGATCTATCACTTCTGGCTGTGAGCGGTGATGCCACGTTTCCATTAGAGACTGAGTGATGGATACAGTAGAGCCTTCTTGCTCTGAATACTCATTCTCCTTCCACATTCCTCAGCAGGGTCCAGCCTGAGCTCTGTACCCAGTTCCCCTAAGAAACAGGCAGAGGCCCGGAAGTCCCTTTTGTTTTGTGTTTTAGTTTTTGGGCCAAACCCAGCAATGCTCAAGGCTTACTCCTGGCTCTGTGCTAAGGGAATCACAGATGGGGTACAGGGATCAAATCCAGGTCAGCCATGTATAAGGCAAGTGCCTCCCTCCATACTATTTCTTTGGCTCTAGGAAGTCCCTTTCTGGCCCCATGGGAGCCAATGACTGCCTTCATTCTTTCCCTTCTACGTGCTATCAGCCTGTTCCCATCAGGAACAGACATCAACTGTCCCCACAGCAGGCATAAAAGGTGTGGGGATGTGCCCCCCGACCCAAGGAGTGTCTGAGTTCACTCTGTCCCAGACTGCTCCTTGAAGCCAGGCTCCCCTGCACCTGGCTTGGCATATATGTAGTTTTCAATAAATGTGTGTGCTACTGAAATGACTCAGTGCTCCTTCCGGCCTCCACCCTTCCCATACACCTACCTCTTTCCGGAGCTGGCTGATGATCCTGCATGGTACTGAGATGATCTCTCCCTGAGCGGTCCGAAGAGCAGGCAGAGTCCCTGGTAATGAAAAAGGCCCACGAGTCCCTTAGCTGCCCTGGCAGACACGTACACAGCATCTCTGTTCCTCCTCGGTATACCCCCTTCCTTTCCTTCCCTCTCCCCCAGGGACACTGTGTACCTGAAGGGCTCCGCCAGGGGTTGGTGATCTTGTGCACCTTGAGTGGGGCACCAGTAAATCTGGCATAGGCCTGCAGGGAAGTAAACAGAAGGTAGAGAGACTGCGGATATTGCCCCCACAGAGAAATCAAGAAGAGAAGATGACTAGTTTTTTTTTTTTGGGGGGGGGCACACCTGGTGGGGCTCAGAGGTAGCTCCATGAGCAGTGCTTGGGGTCCATGTGGCACCAGAGGTTAAACCCAGGGCTCACACATAAAAAAAAAAATATATATATATATATATATATATACACACACACACACACTTAAGCCCTTTGCCCCATTTTTCTGGATCAGGTCATTTATTGCAAACCTTTTGGGCTGTGCTCTTAGTCCTCACCTCACAGGAGACATTACCAGCCCCCAATGAGCAGTGCAGGGTTTGCTATGGGTGTGTCTAGAATGACAAGTCAGCAGGGAAAATTCTTCCTGGTCTCTTTTGCCACCTATCTGGCGAACATCCATTATCCTGTTTTTCCTAGTCACTGCAGCCTGCATACCTGTACTTCTCGGGCAGTCTAGTGGCCTGTCCCCATGTATACCTCAGTACCTAGACAGTTTATTACATTACTCTGCTGATACGCCTCTGCCTTCTTGGTTTATCTTTTGTGTTGCATCACACCTGGGAGTCCTCAGAGCTTACTCCTAGTTCTGTGCTCCCTGGCGTGGTTTGGGGGGATCCTATGGGGTGCTGAAGATCAAACCTGGATCAGCAGCCTGCAAGGCATGTGACGTCCCCCTGGCCTCTCTGGCCCCACATCTGCGTTTCTGTAACTCACTCCTGCGGAGAGCCCGAGTCTTATTCATTCTCGCACGATCATATTTGGTATTTGGAAGAAGCTTAGAACATGCTTATGAAATGAGGGTGTGTGTGAATGAATGAACTGACTTCAGAGCGTTTTCTACAGAGCATAGCCGTGTGCTCCTTTGTTAGCAATAAGCCCAATCAGTGAGGAGAAAGAGGAGGCGGAGGAAAGGGGGTTGGCAGAAAAGGTGGCTGAGGGGAAGGCAGCAACACCAAGTAGGAGAACCCGGAGATGTGGTCCGTCTTGACAAAATCTCGGGGTGAACAAACTACGCCCCAGGAACAGTCGGGCTCGCCCGCAAGGTCACGCACGGCAAGTGGATGTGCAAGGACCGAAACTCGGCTCCCGAAACGCCCCCGACCGGTCTCTTTCTCTCTCAGCAGGAGACCCAGGCCGCTACGACGTAGGATTCGGAGCCCATTCGGACCAGCGCGGCTCTCGGGCTGCCTCAGTTTCCCGCCTCGAGAGCGCGCAGCGGCACCCTGACAAGAATCCGGGGCATCGGCTACTTGCGGGCCCTCCCCTGTCCTCCAGCGCGCGGCCCGCGTCACCGCCAACACCCCTCACCAGCACGGCCAGGCAGTCCAGGTCCACCGACGGCAGCCCCCAGCCCCCGGCCCAGCAGTAGAGCTCCATGGGCGCCGCCATCTTGCCCGCCCTCTGTCCCGGAAGTACCGCCTCCCGCGCGGGCGGTGGCCCCGCAGGCCCCGCCTCCGGGGGCGGCGCCTCCGCTCGCGGCTTCCGAGGTGGCGGGGCGCCGAGGGGCGTCGCCGAGGGATTCGGGGCGGGCGGCCGCTGCTGGATCCAGAGGCGGCTCCCGGAGTGGGGGAAGGGCCGGCGTCTGGGGGCGTCTCGGCGGGTCTAGGCGCCGCTGCCGCGGGCAGCGAAGAAGCCCCCGAGGCTGGGCGAGCCCCGGAGAAAGGGCTCTCTCGGGCCGGGGCCAGCGCCTGGGACTCTCCCCGCGCTGCACGTGGCCGGGCCTGCTCCCGGGCCCCGCAGGACGCGGCCCCGAGCGGGGGCTGCGGGGGGAGGCCCCCGAGCCGCGTGTTTTCCACTGCGCGTTATGTTTGGAGACTTCCCCGCGCCGCCTGTCGCCAAGGAAACAAAACAGGGGCGGCGGCGGCCGGAGCGGGGCCGGGCGGGAGCCGGCGGGGGAGGCGGGCGCGCTGGCGCTGTTGCCGGGTAACGGGGACCCGGGCGCGGCGCCCTGCCCCCCATCCGGGTCACGGCCGGTTCGCCTGCACCCCGGAGTGCTCCCGCCCTGCCCGGTCCCTCTGCGGGGTTTCCCTGCTCTCTCCCTCCCCGGCGCCCCCTTCCACCTGGACGGAGGTCTCCCCTCCCTTCTCGCGCACGGTTTCACACGCGCCCCCCAGAGCCCGGCGAACGCTTCCAGACGGCTCCTTAGGAGAAAAAAATGGAGGCGCAGACACATATCAGTGCGCCCCCCGCCCCATTAAAGCGTGCTCGCTTGGTCTGAGCAGCAAACTCGGTGCCATGTGGGCATCCCCGGGACGCTAGAGCGAGCGAGGCTTGGCCACTCCCTTGGCATCCTCTCGTGCCAACTGTGGAGTAATGCCCACTTGCTGACGCTGCCTGGCCGACTGTGGCTTCCAGAAAAGAGAAGTGGTGGCCCCCAACGATGCTCTCTCAGCGGATGAGGGGCCCCTGAGCCCCCAGACCCTCAGGGACCGACGACCTGCAGGGAGGCCTCGGCGCTCCTCCCAAGTTGCCCCCGACTCCCCTGGGGCCGGGGATGCCTCCAGGGTGATTGGCAGCTCTTTGTTTCAGCCCCCCCCCCCCCGTCCTGCCGCCCCCCCCTGCAACTCCCCCTTCCAGTCCCTCCGCCCCCCTCTCCGGCTCTCCCCGCCTAGCCTTTCCCCTCCCAGCCGCCTGCCTGCCAGGGGTGGTGAGCCGGCCGAGCGGCATGGAGGCGCAGGGACTGCGAGGGGCCCTGGCTCTTCTCCTCCTTGGCACCTTGGCCTCTGCCAGTCAGAACCTGCAGGGTAAGCCGGTCTCCTCCCAGAAGACCCCGCTCTGCGTCCCCGCCCTAGCCCCGTCCACTTAGTAGCAGGGAGCATGTAGAGACGAGGGGGGCGCTGGCTAAAACTGAACTGGCCGAAGAGGGGTTGAAGTGATGGAAAGCCGGGAGTGGGGCGTAGGAGATGGCGGGATAGGGGTGGCCGGCTGCCTAGCTAGGCTGGAGTTTACGTGAGCATCCATTGGCAGCCTGTATCTCGGAGAGCAGCTGGCGGGTGGTGCGTGTGGGCCTCTGACTTCTGGCCGTCCGGGGATCCCATGATGGGGGTTGGGGGACACACACATCTAGAGGTCTACTCTTGGGGAGCTCTGGGGCTTTGCCGGGCCTCTGTGTGTGGGGCGGGGTGGGGGGGGGTGGCTGGAGCCGATGACACAGACACAGATTCTTGACTGGCTGGCTGGAAGGGAAACCACAGATTGGCCCAGACACAGGCGGCTGCAGAGCTGGGTCCTGCATTCCCAGGAGTGAGAGGCGGTGGGAGGGCTGGAGTCAGCGGCGTCTGCTGCTCCTCCCCGGAGCGCATGGGTTAAGCCCCCAGAACGGGAGGAGGAACTGGAGGGTGTGTGAGGCGCCAAGCCCAGTCCCCAGGATCCCGTTCCCGGGTCTGCGCTGCGGGCACCTGGTGACTCTAAGCTCTGGGCGCAGCACCGTGACTCGCTGGCGCCACCTGCCGGGCGCCCTTCGGGTGCGCGGGAGCCGCTGGTGACTTTCGGCGTCCCTGGGAGGCTGTCTGGGGTCGGGTGGGGGTGGGCATGCCCCGGCTGCCTTGTCCACTGACAGTGGCGAAGCCTGAGTTTTCGGGTGTGGCACTCAGACCGCCTGGTGGTTTGGCGCGGGAGGATAAGGGCTGCACCCTCACGCAAGCGCGTGCGCGCGCGCGCACAGACACTGGCCTTTCTCTGCCTGGCAGTAATTGACCTGCTGACCGTGGGGGAGTCCCGGCAGATGGTCGCTGTGGTCGAGAAGATCCGGACCGCCCTGCTCACTGCCAGCGACATCTACCTCCTGTCCACCTTCCGCTTGCCCCCAAAGCAGGGTGGTGTCCTCTTTGGCCTCTACTCCCGCCAAGATAACACCCGCTGGTTGGAGGCCTCTGTCGTGGGCAAGATCAACAAAGGTAGAACAGGACTGAGGACGCTTGCTTTGCGTGCTCCCCGATACCGGTTTCATCCCAGCCATGCATAGGGTCCCTGCCAGGAGTCACCCCTGAGCACAGAATAAGCCCTGAGCACTGTTGGTTCAAAATAACCAAAATTAAATTTATGTGGTCAGAGAAATAGTATAGAAAGTCAGGCATGTGCCTTGCATGCAGCCACATAGGCTCTGGCCCTGGTTCAAATCCCTGAGCAGTACCAGGGATCACTCCTGAATACAGAACCAGGAATAGCCCCTGAGCAGGTATGGTCCAACCCCACCCCAAACAGATAAAAATGGTTCAAAATATTTTTTAAAAGATGATTGGTAGGCACTGCCTTTCTGCATTGGAGATTCCCCCACCTGCCCTCCTCCCAGTGCCCCCTTGCTCCCTTAATGCATCCTGGCTTCCACTGGCTATGCCCAGGCACCAGATACTGGTGCTTAGGAGGCCCTGGGCATCCACTTCATGGGGTGAGGTGAGTTTGTGGGACTGGGAACTGTGTGTGGCTGGGAGGCATATGTCTGCTGTGTGTGGCTGAGAGGCCCCTGGGACAGTAGAGTGAGCACAGAGCCCACTGCTGCCCTGCGGGAGAGAGGGATCAGACACTTGACCCTGTCTCTGAGCCCTTGGGCGACAGACATGTATGGCGCAACTGTGCCTTCCTCGAGTGCTGAGTGAGGAGGGGTTATGTGCACCCAGGAGGGCTGCCCCGGGGCAGAGCTGGGCCCTGCCCTTCGCCTCCTCTCTTCCCCACAGTGCTGGTGCGGTACCAACGGGAGGATGGCAAGACGCATGCTGTGAACCTGCAGCAAGCGGGCCTGGCCGACGGGCGCACGCACACCGCCCTCCTGCGCCTCCGAGGCCCGGCCCGACCCAGCCCGGCCCTGCAGCTCTATGTGGACTGCAAGCTGGGTGACCAGCACTCTGGCCTGCCGGCGCTGGCCCCCATCCCCCCAGCGGAGGTGGGAGGGCTGGAGATGAGGACAGGCCAGAAGGCCTACCTGAGGATGCAGGTGAGCAGGACAGGAAACTCACCACCTCCACCAGGTCAGTGTGGGCCTCAGCGGGGGAGCTGGCGGGTCTTCCCTCCTCTGCCCCTGTGCCGCCAGGGCTTCGTGGAGTCCATGAAGATGATCCTGGGTGGCTCCATGGCCCGGGTCGGGGCCCTGAGTGAGTGTCCGTTCCAGGGAGACGAGTCCATCCACAGTGCAGGTAACGGGGACAGTGCTGCTGACCAACACCAGTACCCCAGGTCTCCATGCCATGTTGGTGTCCCTCCTCTCACCCCATCCCCTTCTCACCTCCTCTGACTGTGAACCCCAAATTATTCAGCCACCCCAAGAGGCATCCCAAACTGTTTTGTATGCCAGGCGCCCAGATCACTGGAAGAGATCAGGAAAAGGCCTTCAAGTGGCCGTGGGAGGGTCAGCTTCAGTCTCTAATATGAGGGTCTGGGTGGGGGGGGCGCGGAGAGATAGTACGGGGGTAGGGCATTTGCTTTGCACACGGCCAACCCAGGTTCAATCCCCAGCTTCTCATATGGTCCTCCAGCACCACCAGGAGTAATTCCTGAGTGCAGAGCCAGGAGTAACCCCTGAGCATTGCTGGGTTTGACCCAAAAAGCCAAATATATATATATATATATATATATGAGGGACTCGAGTCTTTCTTGCCCCCATTGCCAGCAGCCACCTCACTTCTGAGCACTGACTTCTCTCTGAGGCTCTCACTTAATAAAATGCTGCCTCTCCCAGGATTTTCTTTTCTTTCTTTCTTTCTTTCTTTTTTTTCTTGCTTTCTTTCGTCGGGGGATGGGCCACACACAGTGGTGCTGCAGTTGGCTTTCAGCTCTGTGCTTGGGGCCATGAAGTGTTGGGGATCAAGTGGGGTCAGCCATGAGCACAGCAATTGCCCTACCCGCTGTCCTAGCTCCCTAGCTGTCTCCCAGGGTTTTCCAAGAAAGAGTTCTTGAAGTATTAGCTTGTGGGAAAGGACTGGAACAATAATGCAGCGGGGAGGGCATTTGCCTTGCACATGGCCAACCCTGGCTGGATATCCGGCATCCTACATAGTCCTCCACCCCCCCCCCCCCCCCCCCCCCGTGCACTGGCTGGAGTAATTCCTGAGTGCAGAGCTAAGGGTAACCCCTGAGCATCACTGCATGTGACCCCGAAACAAAAACAAACAAAAAAACTTGGATAGGAGGAAAAAGTGAGGGGCTTGACCCTGCTTGGGTCACCTCACACTTGGGTCCCGTCTGCCACCACTGTGCCTGCGAGCCTGGAAGATTTATTCGGGGTTTTTGTATTTTTGCTTGTTTTGGGGTAACCCAGCAGTGCTTGGGCTGAGTCCTGGCTCTGAACTCAAAGGTCCTTCCTTGTGGGGCTCATGGAACTGTATGAGGTGCTAGGGATTGAAGCTCAGCTGGTTGCTTGGAAGGCAAGAGCCCAACCACTGTCCTATGGCTCCAGCTCTCCCATTTCTTTCTCTCCTGGAGATAAAACCCAGGGGTTCGCTAATGCCAGGCCACTATTCTCCGCTGCACCACCTCCTGTGACTGGGTTCTAAGATGTGACTCCCAAAGTTTTCCTCAGCCCCTGGAGAAAGCTGGTGGCCCCTGCTTGCCACCTCCATCCACTTCCATCCAGTACTGTCTGTCCCCAAGCCCCAGCCCCTGGTATCTGTCCCTTCTCCTCCTCACCCCATTGCTCCATGCATCTTCTCCTCTGTTTTCTTCCCAGTGACCAATGCACTGCACTCCATCCTCGGTGAGTAGGCTTGGAGGGGCTGGAAGAGTGAGGTGTGGGGAGGGTGCCCTGGGTTTAGCCAAGAACTGGGTAGGGGGTAAATGTAGGCTGAGGGGCTAGGGTGACAGGACAGCCAAGAGGGCACTGGCCATGCACGTGGCTGATCTGGGCTTGATCCGTAGGACCCCCATACAATCCCTGAGTCCACCAGGAGTGATCCCCGAGTGCATGCCAGGAGTAAGGCCCCACTGGTGTGCTCCCCAAACGAACAAGATTTGGGTGGTAGTGCTAGGAGCTAACACCTTATCCCCAGAGAGACATGGCCTCTGCCCTGGCCCTGAACCTCTTCATCCCCGGGGCCTGACAGGGGAGCAGAGCAAGGCGCTGGTCACCCAGCTCACCCTCTTCAACCAGATCCTGGGCGAGTTGCGAGACGACATCCGAGAACAGGTCTGAGAGGGCTGGAGGCAGGGTGGTGGCAGCGCTGGTACGGGAGGCCCAGGCTGGGCTCGCTGGTGCCCAGAGCCAACCCGGCCGTACATATGCCTGCAGGTGAAGGAAATGTCCCTGATCCGCAACACCATCATGGAGTGCCAGGTGTGCGGTGAGTGGCAGAGGGGACGGGTGGGTGCCAGGTGGCATCGCTGTGCCCGCCCCCAGCCCACCCCCCTGGGCTCAGCCTCTCACCCTTGTGTGGCTCTGACTGGGCCTGCCCCGCAGGCTTCCACGAGCAGCGTTCCCACTGCAGCCCCAACCCCTGCTTCCGCGGTGTGGACTGCATGGAGGTGTATGAGTACCCCGGCTTCCGCTGTGGGCCCTGCCCCCCGGGCCTGCAGGGCAACGGCACCCACTGCTTGGACATCAATGAGGTGGGGCACCCGGAATGCGGGGCCCAAAGGTGGGAGAGGGGCCAGGGAAGGGCTGAGGATGTGGCGGGACCCTGAGAGGCAGCTGGGCCGGGAGTGAGACTCAGAGCACTGCGTGGAGCAAGAGGCTGCACACAGCCAGGGTTCTAGCACATTCTTCCGGTCTGGTTGCAGTGCGCACTGGCGGACCCCTGCTTCCCAGGCTCCAGATGCATCAACACTGCACCTGGCTTCCACTGCGAGGCCTGTCCGCCGGGCTACAAGGGCACACGTGTGTCCGGCGTGGGCGCTGATTACGCCCGGGCCAGCAAACAGGTCAGGCTGGACAGAGAGTGTGGCCAGAGCTCGTGGGTCTCCCAGGACTCGGGAGCTTCTGGGCTGCCTTGGGGGCTAAGGGGGAACTGAGAGGTGACTCCCCAGCCCCCCACCTGGGAGCAATCACCCGGGGAAGGCCATGCTCTGGGGCCCAGGCTGCGTGCTGGCGACCACAGGCTCAGCCCTGCCAGTGCCCCATCCTGTGTGTAAGGCCACAGGCCAGGTGCCACCAAAGCCTGCCTCTCAGGTCTGCAACGACATCGATGAGTGCAACGACGGCAACAACGGCGGCTGCGACCCCAACTCTGTCTGCACCAACACCGTGGTGAGCCTGCAGGGGGCGCAGCCCACTCCTCGGCGCCTGCTCCCCCGCCTTCCAGTGTACTGCACACGTGGGCCTGGTTGGAAATTCTGTTGGTTATTGGACCACCTCAAGCAGTGCCCTGAGTATTGGGCAGCGTGTGTTCCAGGAATGAAGCCCGGGACTCTTGTGGGAAGCCTGCTTGCTGGGGCTCTGGGCAGGCTCGCCAGCCCCTGTTCTGGACCTCTGGTTCTGTTCTTGCTAGCTGTGACTTTCTGCAAGTTTAGCTTTTATTCTGCAGGGAGGGGGAGGGAGTACAACCCAATGGAGCCACTCCTGGCAGGGAGCAGCAGGAATCACTCCTGGTGGGGTTTGGGACATTTTATGGGCCCGGGGGATCAAACTCAGGCCAGCTACATGCAAGGCAAGTGCCTTCTCCTCTGTCCTGTCTCCTGGCATTCAGCTATCTTGGCTTTGGGGCTCCACTGGCAGTGCTCAGGGGGCCTTACAGTGCTGGGGATCCAACTTGGGGCTCCTGCATGCAGAATCATCTCTCCTGACCAGCTTCCCTTTTCCAGACCTCAGTGTCTGCCTCCAAAAACAAGGGCTGTTTTCCGCCTCGAAAGTTTGTCTGGAGGACTGCTAGGTGGTCACAGATCCCATTTATCCAGGAGGCCTAGACTTGGTGTGGGGGGGCTCGCACCCGTGGGTGGGCCAGTGCCAAGCATGGGGCAGGCTGCCCCTGAGTCCTGATGCATTGCTTCCTGCCCTTAGGGCTCCTTCAAATGCGGCCCCTGTCGCTCAGGCTTCCTGGGCAACCAGAGCCAGGGCTGCTCCCCGGCCCGGACCTGCCACAGCCCCGCGCACAGCCCCTGCCATGTGCACGCACACTGCCTCTTCGAGCGGAATGGGGCCGTGTCCTGTGCGGTGAGCCCAGGGACGGTGCCTGGGAAAGGGAGGGCATGGGGCTGGGGCCTCTTGGGGAAGGGCAAGCCTGTGCCTAGGATCTGGCTGGGCAGAGGCCTCAGGAGGCAGCAGCGCTGCTCACCCACCCCTACCCTTGGCTGCTCACCCAGTGCAACGTAGGCTGGGCCGGGAACGGGAACGTGTGTGGGCCCGACACGGACATCGACGGCTACCCCGACCAGGCGCTGCCTTGCATGGACAACAACAAACACTGCAAACAGGTGCAGCCACAGGCTGGGGAGCGGGGAGGGCGGGGCATGTGTGCGTGTGTGTGTGTGTGTGTGTGTGTGCAAGTGCTGAGACTCACTGTCCTCCAACACTGTGCCCTGGGCCCACAGGACAACTGCCTGCTGACACCCAACTCTGGGCAGGAAGATGCGGATAACGACGGGGTGGGGGACCAGTGTGATGACGACGCTGATGGGGACGGAATCAAGAATGTGGAGGTGGCCCCAGATGTCCAGCCCCTTCCTGCTCCCTCTTCTCTGTGCCTCAGACCCCAAATCTTTCCCCTCTCGCCCCTGGCAGTGCTCCTAGAAGGGCCCCAACTGGTGCCCAGGCATAGAGGGGCTCTACAGAGGTTGTCAAAGTGGCACGTGCCCATGAGGGGGTCCTGGAGGGGGGCAAAGGGCTCCTTGGCCCGCAGGAGGCCTGACTGCCTGTCCCATTCCAGGACAACTGCCGTCTGTTCCCCAACAAGGACCAGCAAAATTCGGACACAGACTCATTTGGAGATGCCTGTGACAACTGTCCCAATGTCCCCAACAATGATCAGAGGGACACAGATGGCAACGGGGAAGGCGATGCCTGTGATAACGACGTGGATGGGGACGGTGAGGGCCAGGAGGGCTGGGGAGTGGGAAGACCGCCTGGTGGAAATGCACCCGGCAGGCACCATACCTGCGGCAGGTAATAGGGGTGGGGCCTGGGGTCCTCCCCAGCTGTCCTCAGGAGCTGCGAGAGGAAGAGCTTGCACCCAACTCCGACTGTGACATGTCCTATGACCCCTTCCAGGTATCCCCAATGGACTGGACAATTGCCCTCGTGTCCCCAACCCCCTTCAGACAGACAGGGATGAAGATGGGGTAGGGGACGCATGTGACAGCTGCCCTGAGGTGGGCAACCCAACCCAGGTACTGCCAGAGGAAGGTTCTCCTCCTCACTTGCTGTGGAGGATTGGGGACTGAGGAGGGGCGGGCACACCGGGCAGTACTGGTGGGAGGTACTCTGGATGCAGTGTTTGGGGACCAAACCCAGGGCTCTCACACATGCTCCAGCCCTTTGAGCATCTCCAAGGCTCCATGCAGCTCTGAGGGGTCAGAGAAACAGCACAGTGGGGAGGGCAGTTGGCCTTGCATGCCTCTGGCCCAGGTTGTATCCCTGGCACCACATACGGTCCCCTAAGCCCAGCCAGGAGAGATCCCTGAGAATAGCCGGCTGTGGACCCCAAACCCAACCCAACCCAAGAGGGTAAGGAGGGCTGCTCTCTCAGACAGATGCAGACAGTGACCTGGTGGGGGACGTCTGCGACACCAATGAGGACAGGTAGGTGGCCGGGAGACGCTGCTCTGGCTTCTTGGTGTCTTCTCAGTGCCTGCTCTAACCTCTCCCGGGGGCAGCACCCACTGGGCGGGCACCTCCCGGCTGCTCCAGGGTCTGTGGGGACCAACTGTGCAGGACAGAGGCAGCCTTAGCGCCTGTTTGGTGTCTTCCTCGCAGCGATGGGGACGGACACCAGGACACCAAGGACAACTGTCCCCAGGTGCCCAACAGCTCCCAGCTGGACTCAGACAATGACGGACTTGGCGACGAGTGTGATGGTGATGACGACAATGATGGCATTCCGGACTACGTCCCTCCTGGCCCTGATAACTGTCGCCTGGTCCCTAATCCCAACCAGAAGGACTCGGATGGTAAGACCAGGGCCCCCGAGGGGGACAGACAAGCATGGGATCCCTGAGAGGGGGATGAAGTGTCGACAGTGAGGCCTGGGAGGGGAGCTCTGGCTGGTGGAAACAGCAGGGGACCTCCCTCTAAGCCTCTGGCTCTGCCCACTCAGGCAATGGCGTTGGCGACGTGTGTGAGGATGACTTTGACAATGACGCGATGGCGGACCCCCTGGACGTGTGCCCCGAGAGCGCAGAGGTCACACTTACAGATTTCCGGGCCTATCAGACTGTCGTCTTGGATCCCGAGGGGGATGCTCAGATCGACCCCAATTGGGTGGTGCTAAACCAGGTACCAGGCAGTGGGCTGGGGGCGGCATCGGCTCGGGCTCCCGAGAGGCCCAGAAGGGCAGGCCCCAGACCAGGCCTGCTATGCCGCCTCCCCGCAGGGTATGGAGATTGTGCAGACCATGAACAGTGACCCTGGCCTGGCAGTCGGTATGTAAGGGACCCAAATGGAGTGCCGTTCCCCTGGGCCAAGGGTCAGGTCCACCTCCCGCCCCCTCTCACACTGGCTTGGTGGCCCTTGGCCTCCCCTCTGTGGCATCCAGGCTACACGGCCTTCAACGGCGTGGACTTTGAAGGCACCTTCCATGTGAACACGGTCACCGATGATGACTACGCGGGCTTTCTCTTCAGCTACCAAGACAGCGGCCGCTTCTATGTGGTCATGTGGAAGCAGACGGAGCAGACCTACTGGCAGGCCACTCCCTTCCGAGCCGTCGCCCAGCCCGGCCTGCAGCTCAAGGTCCCAATGCTGCCCAGATGCCCCAGTGAAGGCCCTTCCCCACCCCTGCTCCCCGCTCCTAATTCCACCCCACTGCCTGCTTGGGGACCCTCTCATGCAGTCAGCCGGCCTGAGGCTGGTGCCCCGGGCTCCAGAATATTCTCCTGGCCTCCCTGGTTTTCATCACTATCTGTGCTTACCAACCACCCATGGCTCTGCTGGGGTCCAGTGGTTGATTCATGGCCTTTACCAATGCTCCCAGGCAGTGACTTCAGTGTCCGGCCCAGGGGAGCACCTCCGGAATGCCCTATGGCATACTGGCCACACCCCTGACCAGGTCCGACTGCTGTGGACTGACCCACGAAATGTGGGCTGGCGTGACAAGACCTCCTACCGTTGGCAGCTGCTGCACCGGCCTCAAGTTGGCTACATCCGGTGAGGGCAGGAACCCCAGTTCCAGTACTTTTTTTCCCTGTAGCTGGGCCTCACTATGCCCTTGTTTTGTTTCTCAGTGTCGGGGGCCTGGCCCCTCTCCATATCCCCTCCCAGGGAGATCCCAGCAGTACTGGACTAGCCCCTAGCACCCTAGAAATGCTTGAGGTGCCAGCCATTCATCCTACTCTATGCCCCTCTCCCCGTGGGCCCCCAAGGGCACATGGGAGTCTCAACCCCAGGCCAGCCTGCACACAAGCCCAAGGAATCTGGCCCCTTGCCTGGTTCAGCCCAGAACCTGCCTCAACATCAGAGTCTGACCTGGACAGGGTCATCGCTCTTGGAAGAACCAGCCCAGCTTCTAGGACAGGCCTTTTGTCCAGGGCTTTGCCTCTCCTAGTGGTGGGGGAAGGAGGGGATGTGGCCAAGAGTCCAGAGTCCAGGACTTAAAGGGCTTGGTTCCCCTTTAAGGTGCCTGGGGCTGCAGGGCGCCAAGACAGGGGATAAGGGGGGGTGGACTCGAGCCTGGGAAGCGGGTGACTTCACCCCCCAGCCCATTGTGCTCCTCGCCATGGCAACCCAATCCTCGCTTGGAATGTGGCTGGTGCTTTGAGATGCAAAGGGGGCCGGACAAAGAGCAAGGGGCCTCAGGCCTGAGAAAAGCACCCCCTTCCTCTCCTCCCCCCCATCCCATGCTCTCTCTGGCCCTGGTGAGTTCAAGGGGGGTTGGGAGGAGCGGGGGCCTGAGCAGTGTGGCTCAGTCCCACTGGCACCGCAGCACCAATGGACACCCCTATCCCGGACAGGGTGAAGCTCTATGAGGGTCCCCAGCTAGTGGCAGATTCTGGGGTGATCATTGACACATCCATGAGAGGGGGGCGTCTTGGAGTATTCTGCTTCTCTCAAGAAAACATCATTTGGTCCAATCTGCAATATCGCTGCAATGGTGAGGTCCCAACACCCCGCCTGACCCCCTGTGCCCTGGGGGAATAGCACACCCCACCTGAACACTATTTGCTCCTCTCCCTCCCCCACCTAGACACGGTGCCTGAGGACTTTGAGCCATTCCGGAGGCAGCTGCTCCAGGGAAGAGTGTGACCAGTGGCCAGTCGCCTGTCTGATTCAGAATTCAGATTTTAGACCCTTTGGCCTTTGGGTCCATCCTGGAGAGCCCTGGAGTCTCATCTACAGCCCCTCAGCCAAAACACAGACGACCCAGCTCTGGCACCAGCCAGTAGTTCAGCCCCCAAGGGTGGTGACCCTAATGCACCAATGGGAACTTTTTCAGGGGTACTTCTCAGGCACTAACCCCAGGAAGAAAATAACAGCACATCGTCATAAAGTTTTCAGTGGTTTTCTAAGCCAACGCAATTGCTTATTTTTAGGGCTTGCCCTCAGGACGACGTGGGGAGCAGGGAGGTACCCGGCTGGTAGGATGGAAGTTAGAGCTGAATGTGGGGGCACGGGGGAAAAAATGTTGGTGGGGATTGGGTGAAGGATGAGGGAGTTAGGTGTTAAGAGCGGGTGCTGGTGGGAGAATGGTCAGAGTCCCCCACACTACCATCCCCCGCCCCCGCCCTACTTACTTTCAGTGGCAGCGGCGACTCTCCAGTCTAAGATCAGCAGGACCAAGTGCCAGGAGGGCTGCCCCGCTCGGGCGAGGGGGAGGCCGGGGGGCCGGAGGGGCCGGAGGCCGGGACGAGTGCAATATTGGCGGGGGAAAGAACAACACTGCACCGCGTCCCGTCCCTCCCGCCCGCCCGGGGCCCGGGATCCCGCTCGCCACCACTGGAAGCCAGAACAGTCTCCAGAATCTGGGGGAGAGTGGGGTCCGCTTTAGAGGCTAGAGAGACTGGGCGTCCGGAAGAGAGTGGAGGGGGTCCTTAAGTGGGCGCGGGGAGGAGGGAAGCCCGCGGGATCCCGGAAGGCGCTTTCAGACGCGCGGGGCGCGCGCGGCAGCTCTTTAAATACCGGCCCTGCGCGGCGCGGAGCCGTCGCCAAGGCGACGCGTGTCCCGGCAACCGAAATGAATGGCCGTTGCCCGGCAACGCCCGGGGGAAGTTTCGGAGCCGCCCACCTAGATCCCTAGAGCCCGCAGGCCGAGGGGCTTCCCCGCCTCCCAGGGCCCTGGCGCCCCACCGCGCTGACGTCACGGGCACCCCTTCCCCAGGCTGGCGCCGGCGCCAAGTCGGAGGGAGAGACGGAAGGACGTGGGGTCCCCGGTTCCAGCCCGGCGCCCCGAAGTGTTGGCGAAGTTGCCGTCTGCGCCGGGGCGGAGGATGGCTTCTGAGCCGCGTCTAATTGCTTCCCTCGGCCACGCGCTCACTCCACACGGGACCGTATTCCGACCCCACGGAGTCCCTGGGCCCAGGCGCCGCTACGGCCCCCAAATACCCGCCAGAATACTGCCTGGACCCCACCCCCACCCCACCCCAGGTCACGAGCTCCCGCTTGGAGCTGTACATCCTCGCCACGTGCCTACCCCCCTCACCCACACGCACACACCTCTCAGCTCCCCAGAGGAAAGGCGTGCGCCCCCCACCCCCAAACACCTTTCCCTGGCCTCGGAAATTCGGAGCCGCCCGCGGCGTCCGCCCCATCCCCCCGCATTCCGATGTCCTTTCTCACAGTCCGCTGCCCCTTCCACATACCTCCGACCTCGCCCACTTCACTCACTTCCTCCAGTTGCTGCCCCGCGCGCCCCGGAGCCCCCTCCGAGCGCCCCGTCCTGCCCCGACGGCCCGCGCGCGGCAACCCGCCCTTTCCCTGCCGAGTCGCGGCGTTTCCCAGCGCGCGCGCCGCACCCCGCACTCTCGGGGGTCGCCGCTCCGGCAGCCCCAGTCCCGGGGGGCCACTAGGGGGCGAGCGCGGGCCGCCTCGGGAGGGCGGCGGGCCGGGGCCGCAGAGACCCCCGCGGACCTGGCTGTCCTGCCGGGCCCTGTCCTTCCTCCTGGGCAGCGCGCCGAGGAAGGGGCGTGTGGGTTTCGGCGAGATGCATCCGTGCAGCCCGGCGGGGAGCGGCGCGGGGCGCGGCTATTCCGGGAAGTGGTGGGGGAGGGGTCCCCAAGCAGCACCCCACCTTGCTGCTCTATTCCCGAGCCGGCCTTCCGGGGGACCCAGTGAGAATGCGCAGGTGACGGGGGACTCCCCAGCCTCCGCCCAGGACCTTGACCTGGGACTGCCTATTGTCTTACCTTAATTTAACCAAATCTAGGGCCTCTGGACCCGGTTCCCAGACTACTCGCCCACCCACCTCACCAGCATCTGGAGCCAGGGAGTGTTTGGCAAATGGGGGTGGCCAGTCGGAGAACAAATAACTTGTCAGAGGGTGTGTGAGTGGGACCCAAGTTCTCCTTACCCAAGGGACAGGCGATGGCAGGGAGGGAGGAGGTAGAGGGAGGGGGCCGCCGCGGGAGAGGCGGGGTTTCGTCACCTGTCACCTGCTCTGGCTGAGCGGCGGGCGGGCGGGGGACCGGTATAAAGCAGCAGGCGCCTGTGCAGGCCACCTCCCCGCAGCGCCCGCCCAAGTCTTTGGGGCCCCTCACGCCTGCTTCAGCTGCACCATGACGCCGGGCACCCGCGCCTCCCTTCTGCTGCTGCTGCTGTTTACAGGTGAGGGGTGCGGGGGAAAGAGGCGCCGCTCTTTGCTGTCCCAGGCTCGCGGAGGGCTTGCTTTTCTGGCAGATGGACGCACTGAGGGGAGGCCCAGACAGTGTCACAGTAAAAGCGCCAGGCCCAGGCCAGGCTGAGGGTAGGGGGTCTCCAGTAGTAGAGCAACCCAGAGCTGAGGCCTTGGGGAGGAGAGGGCTAGGGAAGGGAATCCGGAGGGCGGGTGGTGGGAATGGAAATGGAGTAATAGCCGGCCCTGGAGGTAGGCGCCAGGGTGCTGGGTCGGAGACAGTGGAACTGCTCTGGGCCTCTCCACCAACCCTCCTCGAAGGGCTTCTCTGGAGGACAGAGATCGTTTTCTTCTGTGTTCTTCTGTGTTCTCCATCCAACTCTGTGGCCTTAACTTCTTGCAGCTGAAAACATTGCCAGCGCCAATGAGAACCTAAGCACCCAGACGTCCACCTCCACTAGCCATAGTTTTACCACAGAAAGCTCAACCTCTTCTCAGTACAGTACTGCTCATTCAGACACCACCACGACTGAGACCAGCGGGAGCCACAGGAGCACCCCAACCCAGACCCCCACTTCCTCTGCGGATTCACACACCTCTTCTGGGACCACCGGGAGCCACAGCAGCACCCCAACCCAGACCCCCACTTCCTCTGCGGATTCACACACCTCTTCTGGGACCACCGGGAGCCACAGCAGCACCCCAACCCAGACCCCCACTTCCTCTGCGGATTCACACACCTCTTCTGGGACCACCGGGAGCCACACCAGCACCCCAACCCAGACCCCCACTTCCTCTGCGGATTCACACACCTCTTCTGGGACCACCGGGAGCCACACCAGCACCCCAACCCAGACCCCCACTTCCTCTGCGGATTCACACACCTCTTCTGGGACCACCGGGAGCCACAGCAGCACCCCAACCCAGACCCCCACTTCCTCTGCGGATTCACACACCTCTTCTGGGACCACCGGGAGCCACAGCAGCACCCCAACCCAGACCCCCACTTCCTCTGCGGATTCACACACCTCTTCTGGGACCACCGGGAGCCACACCAGCACCCCAACCCAGACCCCCACTTCCTCTGCGGATTCACACACCTCTTCTGGGACCACCGGGAGCCACAGCAGCACCCCAACCCAGACCCCCACTTCCTCTGCGGATTCACACACCTCTTCTGGGACCACCGGGAGCCACACCAGCACCCCAACCCAGACCCCCACTTCCTCTGCGGATTCACACACCTCTTCTGGGACCACCGGGAGCCACAGCAGCACCCCAACCCAGACCCCCACTTCCTCTGCGGATTCACACACCTCTTCTGGGACCACCGGGAGCCACAGCAGCACCCCAACCCAGACCCCCACTTCCTCTGCGGATTCACACACCTCTTCTGGGACCACCGGGAGCCACAGCAGCACCCCAACCCAGACCTCCACTTCCTCTGCGGATTCACACACCTCTTCTGGGACCACCGGGAGCCACACCAGCACCCCAACCCAGACCCCCACTTCCTCTGCGGATTCACACACCTCTTCTGGGACCACCGGGAGCCACAGCAGCACCCCAACCCAGACCCCCACTTCCTCTGCGGATTCACACACCTCTTCTGGGACCACCGGGAGCCACAGCAGCACCCCAACCCAGACCCCCACTTCCTCTGCGGATTCACACACCTCTTCTGGGACCACCGGGAGCCACAGCAGCACCCCAACCCAGACCCCCACTTCCTCTGCGGATTCACACACCTCTTCTGGGACCACCGGGAGCCACAGCAGCACCCCAACCCAGACCCCCACTTCCTCTGCGGATTCACACACCTCTTCTGGGACCACCGGGAGCCACAGCAGCACCCCAACCCAGACCCCCACTTCCTCTGCGGATTCACACACCTCTTCTGGGACCACCGGGAGCCACACCAGCACCCCAACCCAGACCCCCACTTCCTCTGCGGATTCACACACCTCTTCTGGGACCACCGGGAGCCACAGCAGCACCCCAACCCAGACCCCCACTTCCTCTGCGGATTCACACACCTCTTCTGGGACCACCGGGAGCCACACCAGCACCCCAACCCAGACCCCCACTTCCTCTGCGGATTCACACACCTCTTCTGGGACCACCGGGAGCCACAGCAGCACCCCAACCCAGACCCCCACTTCCTCTGCGGATTCACACACCTCTTCTGGGACCACCGGGAGCCACAGCAGCACCCCAACCCAGACCTCCACTTCCTCTGCGGATTCACACACCTCTTCTGGGACCACCGGGAGCCACAGCAGCACCCCAACCCAGACCCCCACTTCCTCTGCGGATTCACACACCTCTTCTGGGACCACCGGGAGCCACACCAGCACCCCAACCCAGACCCCCACTTCCTCTGCGGATTCACACACCTCTTCTGGGACCACCGGGAGCCACAGCAGCACCCCAACCCAGACCTCCACTTCCTCTGCGGATTCACACACCTCTTCTGGGACCACCGGGAGCCACAGCAGCACCCCAACCCCGACCCCCACTTCCTCTGCGGATTCACACACCTCTTCTGGGCCCACTGGGAGCCACACCAGCACCCCAACCCTGACCCCCAGCAGTTTGCCAGGCCCAACCACCAGCTCAGGGCACACTCTTAACACCTCTGCCAAGACTTCTGTGCCTCCCACCAGCCACAGCACCTCCTCCTCCCTCCCTACAACCCCTACCAGTCCCACCACCAAAACCAGTAGCACTAGCCACAGCGTGTCTCCCACCTCTTCCCCCAGTCATACGGTACCGGTTTCTCTCTCATCCTTCTTTCTGTCTTTCCGCATTTTAAACTACAAGTTTAACGCTTCCCTGGAAAACCGCCACAGTGCCTACTACCAGATGCTTCAGAAAAAGATCGTTGGTCTGGTGAGTGACAGCCCCCTGGCCTGCCTGCCCCGGAAGCCTCTGGAACTGTTCACAGGCTTGTTTTGATCCTTCGTCCTTTTCTCCATCCCAGTTTTCAGAGATCTACACCGAGAATTTTGCAGGTGTCTCCAATATTCAGTTCAGGTACGATGGTGTGGGAGGGGGCCAGTGGATGTTGGCAGGGCAATGGGGAGTGGGTGCCTCCTGCAGCCACGCACAGTCAGGGCTCCTGGCTGAGCTGCTTCTTTCTCTCTGGCCAGGGAAGGATCTGTGGTAGCCAGTTCCATTGTGACCTTACAGAAAGATAATGCTAGTGCCCAGGACGTGGAGCAGCAGTTCAATAACCGTGTCTCAGAGGCATCGAAGAAATATGATTTAAATATCAAAGAAGTCAAGGGTGAGGGCACCAGGGATATCCAATCTAACTCAACCCCTGGCTTACCCTGGATGACCAGTATGCGGGGGAGGGGGAAGGGGGTTTGGGACATTCACCTGACCCCTGTTCATTCCCTTCCAGTGGCTCCACTCACCTCTCCTTCCTCCTCCCCTCCTGGGCCTAGGGTGCCTGGCTGGGGCATCGCCCTGCTGGTACTGGTGTGTGTGTTGGTGGCACTGGCTGTCCTCTATCTCCTGATGCTGGTAAGTGCTCCATTCTTGCCCCTAGTCCCAGAACAAGTACTTCTGCTTAAGGAACCCCAAGCCCCCCATCATCTCCTGTCGCCCCCCCCCCCCAGGCTGTGTGTCAGTGTCAGAGGAAGAGCTGTGGGGAGCTGGACCTCTTACCACCCCGTGATGCATACCACCCCATGAGCGAGTACCCCACCTACCACACCCACGGGCGCTACGTGCCTCCTGGCAGCACTAGGCGGAGCCCTTACGATGAGGTGAGATTGGGCCCCTCTGGGGGAAACATGGGCTGGGCTTGGAAAAAGCAAAAGAACTCCACAGAGGTGCCGAGATAGTACACAGTACAGCAGGAAGGGCGTTTGCCTTGCGCACAGCTGACCAGGGTTCAATCCCCAGCATCCCTAAGGTTCCCCTGAGAGCAAAGCCAGAAGTAAGTCCTGAGCACAGCCCCCAAAACAAAACTAAACAAAAAAAAAAAAAAGAACTCAGTGAAGAGTGCAGAAGCTGCCAAGGCTGGGAAAATCCTGAATAGCTGTGGTGGACAGTCCCCACAGGGCCTCAGGAGCAAGTGACATTCCCCTCTCTCGGGAATTCCCAAATTCCCAGAAGGTGGATAAAGGGCCCCTCCGCACATGCCCAGAGGCACACAGCCACATTCTCCCTCCCTGCTGCATTCTCCCAGGAAAGTGAGATTGAGAAAGACTTGCGGTGGGTGGGGTCTGAGGAAGTCCCTCTAGGCCAGGTTTGCCTGCGGGCCTGGGTTCCTGGTAGAGCAGGACTTGCTCTCCTTCCCTGGCCTTTCCCTAAGGGGCCTAGTAAATAATTACTTCAGCCCCTGGGGCGCCAGTGGCCTCTGGGGAGGTACAGGAGGAGGAAGAAGCTTCTTTCCCAGGGCGCCTGCCTGCTTGCCTCTGTCAGGTCTCAAATGGAGGGGCTGAGGCTGGCTGGAGGAGGAGGAGGAGGAGGAGGAGGAGGAGGGGGGACAGCCAGGCCCTGTTTACAGTCACCTGGCCTGAGGTGCTCTGCAGGTGCTTCCCCCCCCCCCCCCCAATTAACCCCTTGAGAACTCAGTAGCCTTCCAGGCTTATTCCTCAACCTGGTGCCCCCCACCCCCTCCCATGCCTCTGCCCAGGCGGCTTCCGCAAGGACTGTGCTGCCGCTCAGCTCACCCCAACCTTCTCCCCTAGGTGTCTGCAGGCAACGGCGGAGGCAGCCTCTCCTACACCAACCCCGCAGCCACCTCGGCCAACTTGTAGGGGCATGGTGCCCTCCTTCCAGCCAGCGCTGGGATCCTCGACGCTGCAGACCACGCATAGCCTCCTTCCTTGGTCCTCCTCAAGCCCCCGAACAGCTCATCCCCAGCCCTGGAGATGTGTGTGGGGAGTGGTCCTTGGGGGGCAGGAATGTCCCTGGATGAGTGGCCCAAAGGGCCTGGGAAAGCTCCGCAGGTCATGCTGAATAAATCGGGGTGCCCGCATTGGAGTGTCCCCCCGATCATGATGAATAAATCAGGGTGCTTGCCCTGTGCTGACTGCCAACTTCTGACCGGACGTCCCTACCTTGGCGTGGGGAAAGGGGCCTTGTGTGTGAAGGGTCCGGGGAAGGAGACGTGACGGAATAAGGCCCACCACCAGGAGTGAGGCTGGTGTGAGACACCGACACTGTGGACAAGGCTCGGGAGTGGCCTGGGGGAAAACCCAGTGGCCTCTCGCCCATTCCCTGCAGCCCAGGAGGAAGGAGGAAGTGAAACCCCTGGCGGGCTGTAGGGTGGCAGCATGACCAGCTCTGCCTGTGACCAGCCCTGCCTGAGCCCTGGCCTGGCCTTGAGGCCTGCTCCTCTCCTGCTGGCACGCTGCCCTGCAGTTCTATTCTTAGCTGCTCAGGTGTGAAGTGAGTCCTGGGGTAGCGATAACCCAGCAGAGTCAACACCAATCGAGATAAGCCAGCTTGTCAGATCCGGAGCTGGCAGCCAGCCCGGCCTCCCCCCACCCCTCACCCCAGTGTTGGGGTCTGTGGCACCCTGGGAATGGGGAAACAGTTCCAGTCCCCTGAACTCTGTGGGCCAGATACAGTCCCGCCCCCGCAGGGGATGCTGTATCAGACCTGCCAAATAAAGAGCCCCAGCCCAGGAGCAGGGTGGGGGGACAAGGTTCGCTGGATCTCCCCAGGCTCCAGGCCGAAGACTGGCAGCTCACTGGAGCATCTCTTTCCCTTAGGGTCCCTGTTCCAAGATACCCGCCCCCCAACACAGATACTAAGAGGAGAGGCCAGAGATACGTCTGCAACCACAGTTTATTGTGTAGAAACCGTGAAAAGAACAGCTATTGTTGGCACAGACCTAGTGGTGCCCACCACCCACTGGGGGGCAATCTCAGGCTTCAGAGTCCTTGCCTGGCCAAGCCCCTGGGGGACACCCAGCTCAGCTGGATGGCCGGGAGCCACACTGGAATGGGCACACGTGGGGGAAGCATGCAGGGGGGAGCGGAGGGACAGAGGCATGCAGCCAAGGGGGCAGAAGCCAGGAGTAAAGCAGAATGACAGCCCTTTTCCCCTCAAGGAGTGCCTAGGCAGGGTGTGGCCCCAAAGCTGCCTGCCCCCCGGACAGAGCTGGGGGGTGTGCCAGTATGCCTGGGGCCTGCCCTCTCTTTCAGCCTGGGAGTGTGGGGCAGGCACGGGGAGGGGGCCTCCAAGGCCCGGCAGGGGCATGGTGGGCGGAAAGAACAGGCATGGGTGGGGGAGAGGGTACAGCCAACTGCTGGCCGGGAGGCAGATGGGTAAGAGGTGGGAGTGGGTGCGGGGCTGGGGGGGTGTTGGGGGCAGCAGTCGCTGGAGGGGTGGCCGGCCTCCAGATGCTTAGAGCTCAGTGGCTGGGAGGGGCCCCAGACGGTCAGTCCAGCTTAGCGAAGCCCCCAATGGTCACCTTCCTCTCGGGCTTGGTGCCCACCGGCTCCTGAAGCTGCACAGCGCCCCCGCCAATGAAGCAGAAGGCAGGGCACACAGGCCCCGAGCAGTCCAGGGGGCACTCCAGGAGCCCGCGGAAGGACACGGCATCCAGGAAGGACACACGGCCCCGCTCATAGTCCAGGCAGATGCCCAGGCGGGGCGGCAGAGGCACAGTGCAGCCGGGGGCAGGGCCATCCCTCCCGGTCAGCCCTGCGCCCGCCGCGGCCCCCAGGAGGATCTTGCCCATCCCGATGGTCAGGAAGGCGAAGGGTGGGGATGCCTCCACCGTAGCGTCCTCCGCGCCGCTGTCATGTCCGCTGTCAGGGTCATACCTGCAGGGACAGGTTGGAGGACAGTGAGGGGGAGTGGGGGCTGGGTCACAGGTGCGGGGCAGGCGAGCCCCAGGAGTCAATGGGGGTATGGCAGAGGACAAGGGATATCAGGCAGGGTCTTCGAGGGGAAGACAGGGGCCAGAGGTGGGCAGGAGCTGACCAAGTGCTGAGGGAATGCGCTGCAGGGGGAAGGTGAGAAGCACACGGAGGAGGGTTGGGAGACAGGAATGGGGAAAATGGGTGTGGGGAGAGGGTGGGGGTCAGGAACGGGGAAAATGGGTGTGGGGAGAGGGAGGGGGTCAGGAACGGGGAAAATGGGTGTGGGGAGAGGGTGGGGGTCAGGAATGGGGAAAAGGAAGGATCCAGACCCAGGTGAGAGCAGAGAGGGTGCGGCAGGTGGGGGTGGTGTTGGGTGTTGGGTGGGGTGGTCAGGGTGACCTCCAGGTGGGACCTGAGGTCAGGGGTGAAAGGGCTTGGGTGGGGGGAACTGGTGCTGGAGTCAGGCATGTCGATGAAAGGGTTATTGAGGGATAAAGTGCCAAAAAGAAGGGGTGCAGGGCTGGGAGTGTGAGGAGGGCCCTGAGCTGGGCAGGGTCTGGGGAGACCGACAGCTTCTGTTGGGGCAGTGCTGGGGGACGGAGCCTGGAACTGGGCCTGACGCAGGCAAAGCAGGTGCTGCGTCCCTCTAAGCCTGGAAGTCTGAGGGGAGAGTTTAGAATGTTGAGAGAATGTTGAGAGAAGGGTGTAGGGCGCAGGTTTTGTGCGGTGTGAAGGGAGCTGAGGGGCCATCTGAGTGAGAGATGGAAGAAAGTGGAGATGGCTCCTTCTTTTTGCCCTGTTTAAGCTAGCCGGAGTCATAGTCATAAATGTCCCCAGCCCAGGCGCCCAGCCCCACCCGCCGGCCGGCCCGACCTGCACCCACCGGCGACCCCGCCCACTTCTGGCCCCAGCTCCACCCTGACCTGGGGCTGATCACGTCGGGGGCACCTTGGAAGCTTTCCTGCAGCTTGCTCTCCAGCCCCACGCCCACCTTGACCAGATAGGAGGCGGGGTCGACGGCGCAGGCCCAGTAGCTGCGGCCCTGGGTCACGGCCACGTCTCCCAGGACCACGTCCACGCTCAGGTGGCAGCCGGTGAGCAGCCGCTCGGCCGCCAGCAGCAGCGGCAGCCCCGGCAGGCTGCGCACCGCCCGCTGGTCCTTGCTGATGGCCAGTCGCTCTCGGCTGCTGCCCCAGCGGCCATCGAGGAAGAAGTGCAGGACTGTGGGGAGGAGAGGGCGGGCGGAGACGGAGGAGGGACGTCAGGGTCAAGCACTGTGTCCAGGTGCTCGCCCCATAGACCCGGAAGGTTCAGGACGTGCGGGAGGGGGTGGGGCTGTCGGAAGAGGCGTCTGGGGAACCGGAAGGGGGAGAACAAGAGGGAAAAGAGGGCATCCCTAGGGAAGATTCAGCGCAGGCAACTGGGGTCTCCCAGATGTGTCCTCCAAGGCCCGCCCCAGGGGCTGCATTCCATCTGCTGACATTCCAATCAGCCAGCCCCTCCTGCCATCTACCTGCCCTGCCCTAGAGCCAAGAGCCACCTCCCAACTCTGCAGGACGCCAGGGTCAAGGCCCGCATCCCTCCACATTTCCTCCAGAGTCACTGCCCCAGCTTCCACTGGCACCTTACCAGGAGCTGAGCAAACTGGGTTTTGTTTGGTTGTTTGGGATGGAGCGTTTGAACAATGCCTGGTGGTCCTCAAGGGTCGCTTGAGGGGAGACAGCTGCACTGCAAACTGTTAAGACTTGGGAGGTTACCTCACTTAACTCAACCAAAGGAGATGAGTGTGGTCCTTATCCCCTGAAGAGCCTCTTCAAGTCCAGAGAAGGTCACTAATCTGCCACCCAAAGTCACATAACTGATGAGAGGCACAGTTAGATTTTTTTTTTTCTTTTTGGGTCACACCTGGCAATGCACAAGGGTTACTCCAGGCTCTGCACTCAGGAATTACCCCTGACGGTGCTCAGGGGACCATATGGGATGCTGGGAATCAAACCTGGGTTGCAAGGCAAACGCTTTAACCGCTGTGCTTTTTCTTTTTTTGGGGGGGGGGGTTTGAGGGGTTGGGCCATACCTGGTAGTGCTCAGGGCTTACTCCTGCCTCTGCTCTGAGGGATCACTCCTGGCAGACTTGGGGGACCATATGCGATTCTAGGGTAGAATCTGGGTCAGCTCCGTGCACGGGGAGCACCTTCTCTGCTCTGCTTCCTGGCTCCTTGTGTGCCGTGGTGCTCAGTGCTTACCCCTGACTCTGGGCTCAGGGATCATCCTGGTGGGGTTTGGGGGAGTCCAGTGCAGAGCCACAGATTGAACCTGGGTTGGCAGCCAGCCAGGAAAGCGCCTTCCCCCACTGTCCTGTCTCTCTGGCTCCATAGCCAGGATTCGGGTGTAGGTGATCTAGCTGCACAGCTAAGAAGGGGCATAGCCAGCGTTGCTCAGGGCTTACTCTTGGCTCTGTGCTCAGGAATCACTCCTGGTGAGGCTCAGGGGACTACATGGGATGTTAGGCCACATTCAAGGCAAGTGCCCACCCCGCTGTCCTATCTCTCCAGCCCTATGTGACCCACTCTTTTTGTTTGTTTTGGGGTTACACTTGGCAGTGCTCAGGGCTTACTCCTGGTTTTGCATTCATGAGTCATATCCTGGCGGGCTTGGGGACCATATGGGATGGTGGGAATCAAACCAGGGTCTGCCGTGTGCAAGCAAGAGCCCTCCTGGCTCTCCCATCTTTCTAGTCCTGTGTGAAACACTCTTTTTTTCCCTTTTTCTTCCTTCCTCTCTTTCTCTCTCTTTATTTTTTTTTCCTTTTGGGTCACATCTGGCAATGCACAGGGGTTACTCCTGGCTCTGCACTCAGGAATTACTCCTGAAGGTGCTCAGGGGACCATATGGGATGCTGGGAATTGAACCTGGGTTGGCCGCATGCAAGGTAAACGCCCTACCCGCTGTGCTATCTCTCCAGATCCTCTCTCCTTCCTTCCTTCCTTTCTTTCTTTCTTTCTTTCTTTCTTTCTTTCTTTGTCATACTTGGCAGTGCTCAGGGACCATGTGGGATGCTGGGAATTGAACCAGGGCCCACTGTGTACAAGGCAAGCACCCTCCCAGCCGTCCTATCTCTCTGGCCCTGTGTGACCCGCTCTTAGGCCTCCTGGGTGCCTGCCAGTACTCACCCGGCGCCGGAGGCGTGTGCAGATGCACATCCTCACTGTACTCGCCGTAGCCCGCCTTGTTACAGCCTCGGACACGCAGCACGTACACGGAGCCCGTGTCGGGGTTCTCGAGCAGGGCACTGGTACCCCTCACCTCCTCCCGCCGCTGCCAGCGGGCTGGGCCGGGCTGGGCGGGCACGTCGGTGCGGCGGAACTCAACCGTGTAGTGCCAGGCCGGTGGGGAGTGGGGGGGCAGCCGCCAGCACAGGAAGATCTGGTCGTAGGCGAAGGTGCGCTGCGTGTCGATGACGGGTGCCTCGGGCACTGCGGGGAGAAAGAGTAGGTCAGTCCGGGCCTGGCCACGCGCCCATTTGGGAGGGCAGGCAGGAGAGAGGGGAAGCAGCGGGAGCCGGGGGGTGAGTGTGGGTGAGGGGGATGTGGCCAAGACATGTCCAGGCACTGGGCATGGAGAGGCAGGGCAGAGCTCGAGGGAGCAGGGGTAAGGGCCTCATCTGGCCTGACAGTGACCCTGCCTTTGGGAGACCTGTCCCCGCCTCTGCCCGGGAGGGGTTCACCCCAGACAGGGACTTTGCAGCTTGCACCTTCTCTGAATCGAGAGACGGCCCAGGGAAGGCAGAGGTGGCAGGGACTGAGCAGGAAAGAGGGAGCAGAGTGGGGTGGGGGGTGGGTGGAGGGCGGGACAGGAGACAGCCAGGGTGGCAGGGGGCAAGCACAGGAGAGAGGCGGAGCTGCAGAGGGAGGCCAGGGCAAGCTCAGGGGCCAGGAAGAGGGGAGAGGCAGGGCCGGAGCTTAGGAAGAAGAAGGCACAGTGCCCTGCTCAGCTGGGCTGGGGGCTGGTTAAGCAGAGGGAAGCAATGGGAGGAGGCCAGCTGCAGGGGAGCGGGCAGGGGCCCGGCGGGGGGCAGGCCCCCGGGGCAGGGCCGCTGACTTGCCTGGGATGCTCCGGAGCAGAGTCCGCAGTGGCACAGCCTACAAACAAAGAGAGGGAGAAGCAGCGCTGAGCGCGGGGGGGACGCTGTGGCCAGGGGGGTGAGGTGGGAGCAGGCTGGCCGGGCTGGGCGGGAGGCCAGGGAGGTCCCCGGTGGGCACTGCCCCCCGGGCCCGCTGCTGGGGAGGAAGGGAAGGAAGGCACTAAGTGGGCGGGGGGGCCTGGCCGGCTCCTCACCTCGCAGGAAGTTCAGCTCAGTCAGCAGCTTCATCTCACGCCCCACATCCAGCTGGCAGTGGCGGAAGGAGGAGCTGGCTGCGGGCCGGAAGGTCTGCAGGGCCTCGGTGGCGCGGGCAATTCTGGGACGGGGAGGCTGGGGTCAGCTCTATCACCAGCCGCCACCGTCCTCACCACTCAGTTGTGCCCGCCCAGAGTGGCCAGCCAGGCCTCTCTGCTTTGGGTCCCATCCTTATCCCTTGGGGTCAGCTGGGGGTAGGGGGTCCATCTGACCCCTGAAAATCCTCAAGGCCCAGCTCCCCGGGAGGCTGGGCTGCAGAGAGGCCTCCAGCGTCTCCATCCTTAGCCCCTCAGTACCTGTGGTGCAGCTGCTTGGCCGCCTGCACAAAGCAGGGCTGGTCCGTCTCTTTCAGGACCTCCTGGGCGTAGCCCACAAGCCCAGAGCCGTCCAGCAGGCTGCGGTGCTCCTGGATCTGGGCGCTGAGACGGGCCAGCCGCTCCTGCTGGCACTCCTCGATGGCCTGCAGCAGCGACACCCTTTTCTCCTCCAGCACTGCCCCCAGCCCCCGCACCAGCTGGGACACCTCCTCCTTGGCCAGCTGGCCGCTCACCTGCCCAGAGAGAACAGCTGTTGGCTTCTTTCTGTTCAAGGATCTTTTCCTTCTTCACTTCTTTTTGGTGCTAGGGGCGTGTACCCTCAATGGTGCTCAGGGGTTATTCTTGGCAGTACTCGGGGGACCCTATGCATAAACCCTTTCCTATCTCTCCAGCCCCTTACTGTATTTCTTTTTTATTTTCGGGGGGAGGGGTTCACAACTGGCAGTACTCGGTGCTTACTCCTGACTCTGTGCTCAGGGGACCACATAGGGTGCCAGGGTTTGACCTCATGCAACGTAAGTGTCTTCCCACAGTACTTTTCAGCACCTCCAGCCTTTAATTTTTTTTTTTTCTTAGGCACCATGATTTACAGCCCTGCTCACAAAAGGTTTTATATGTACCCTGTTCTGGCACCACACCCTTGCCTGCATGTCTACTTCCCTCCACCTTTGTCTCAGTACCCCCCTTTCCACCCTTACAACCTTTTGTTTTATTTCATACCACACCCAGTTAGTGCACAGGGCTCTGCTTGGTGCTCAGGGTTCACTCCTGGTAGTACTTGGGGGACTCTGCAGTGCTGGGGATCGATCCCAGCTGAGTTGCATACAAAGTGAGGACCTAACCCACTGCTCTATTTCTCCAGCCCCCTTTACTGTCTACTTGGAGATAGCACTGAGCTCCCTCCTACGGCCTCACACCAGGAAGAAGATCATAAAAAATCTGGGGAAATCCTCCTGCTGGTTCCATCTGGGCCAGGCTTAAGCACGCCCAGATAGGAATAGCCCCTGACCTTTCTGTGCCAGCCTTTCTGGGTGTGCATGCCATTAGCCTGAGCAGTTCAAGATACCCCAAGGAAAAGAGGCCAAGACTATGTCAGCACCACCTGCATCTGGGCCACCTGACAGCTTCCTTGCGTCAGCCGAATCAGCTATCTGGCACCTGGTCTCTGGCCCCAGGAATATGGGCCACCCTCCACCAGCTCCTGCGGACTGCCTGGCTCCATACTAGAGGCACCCTCAAACCTCCCTGTTCTGGTCCCATTGTGGTCTCAGGTAGTTGAGCTTAGGGCACTGCTGCTGCCGTTAACCAGGTCTCACTGGCACCTTGGCACCTCTAGGGCAGTTTTGGGGGGCTTTTTGGGTCACACTCATTGTTGCTCAGGGGTAACTCCTGGCTCTGCACTCAAGAATTACTCCTGACGGTTCTCAAGGGACAATTTGGGATGCTGGGGATCAAACCACGGGTCGGTCACATGCAAGGCAAACACCCTCCCCACTGTACTGTTACTCCAGCCCCTTAATGGACATTTTAATTTTTTCTGGCCACATCTGGCAGTGATCAGGGATTGCTCCTGGTTCTGAACTCAGGAATAACTCCTGGCAGTGCTCAGGAGACCCTAAGCAGTGCTAGGAATGGAAGTGGTGTGGGCTGCATGCAAGGCAAGCGCCCTACCTGCTGTCCTATCTCTCTGGCCACACATGGACAGTCTGAACTTGCAACCAGGTGATGGGACAAGGATGTGCCTACCCACACCCCACCAGCTCCCACTCCAGGCTCACTTCTGTGTGCCTCACTGTCTCCTCCAGCTCACAGATCTGGTTCTGCACTGTGTCCTGGTTTCCCAGAATGTACGTCAGGCTCTTGGTCAGCTTGTCCTGAGGGGGAGAGAAAAGTGGTCATCATGCCAGCTTCCACAGAGGCCCCCACGGTTCAGAGGGGTGTATGTGTGTGGAGGGGTGAGTACCGGTCACCACTGGGGTTTTCACTGAGTGTCCTCACCTTGAGAGCCTGGTAGGCGCTCAGCACTGGTGTGATCTTGTGTCCACTGTGAGTACGCCGTACACGGCAGAGTTGGCATACCAGGCGTGGGCATGTCTTGCAGTAGTGGGTTACCTCTTCCTTGTGGTCTGGGCACATCAGACCCTAGGGACAGTAAGGTGCCAGCAGTGGCATCAAGGCGCTGAGGTCCCGCAAATGCCATCCCTGAATCTCCCCATGCTGTCTGCAGGGGATGGGGCAGGAAGTTCAGCAGGTCTTGTTTCTTAGCTCCACCTGGTGGTGCATACTGGCATCAACAGGCGCTTTTCCTGAACCCTCCAGGCATCAGAATTCCTTCTCCCTTCATCTACTTCACTGGGGTGTGGTAATAACAGTAATAAGGATCACAATTAACCTTAGCCCTGTGGTTAATGATTAACCTCCTCCGTTTTGTCGCAGTTGTATCCCTAAAGCCTAGAATTGTGCCAGGCACAAAGGTGCTCGATAAACATTTGCTTAGTGAATGAATGCACACAGACCTTCTTAGCCTACAGATAACTTTGGCAAACACTATTTCCTTCTATTCACTCAGCAGCTCTGCTGGTATGGTTCTCATGGGACAGAGAGTGTCATCCTTGTTCATCAGATAAGACAGTAGCTCAAAGGAGTTCAAAGACTTGTCCAGGGCTGGAGCTGCAGCTGAATGTGTGAGGCCCTGGGTTGGATTCCCAGCCCCATAAAAACAAAGCAACAAACAAAACCCCCACAAAGATTTGTCCAGTGCCACCATTTTTGCTTGTTGTTACAGGAAAACCAGCCTTTGCAACAGCAACTTCTGGCCCAGTTCCTTTTGGGAATCCCCAGTCCTTATTAGTCCCCATGCACCTAATGGCACCATGCCCCTCCCCTCCCCCGCCCTGCAAAGGCTGCTGGCTCACCTTGGGGCGGAAGGAGAGAGTGGGCAGGGTGGGCTCATGCTGGGCCTTCTGGGTGCCCCAGGGGTGGAAGAGCTTGAAGCACTCGTTGCAGAAGGCAGCGCGGCACTCAGCACAACCTTTGGTGGCCTCGAGGGGCGGGGCCTTGCACAGCTGGCACAGGACGGCCCCGCCCACACTCACGCTTTGCCGGTACCGCTCCACCACTCGCTCCAGAGTCAGGTTCCGGAACAGCCCCGCCAGGCCCCTCTCGCCCAGCTCCACATCGCCCTGGCAGGCAGGGCACGGGAACAGGACCACCTGGGGGTGCAGGGCACCTCGCTTCCTCCCGGGGTATGTCCCAAAGCCTGTGAACGGCACAGACGGGCCAGGGAAGCAGGGAATGAACATTCCAGCTGGCTGAGGTGGGGGCAAGTTTGCTCACGCTGAAAAAGTTACTTTTGTGTGTGTGTGTGTGTGTGTGTGTGTGTGTGTGTGTGGAGGGGGGTGTGAGGTGGAGAAGGGGCACAGGACAGTTCCCAGTGCCACATCTATCTGTGCTCAAGAGCTACTTCTGATTTTGGGCTAAGGAATCACTCCTGGTGGGGCTCAGGGACTCTCTGCAGGGTCAGGCATTGAATCAGGGTCAGCTGCATGCAAGACAAGCACCTTAACCCCTATATTAGCTCTCAGGCCCCCAAATTAGTTTTGACTGGGTCAAAACTAGCTATTGCTGGGGTACCGAGGGGCAGTTTCCCCACCCTCTGACAAACAGACCAGGGTTGTAGCCTTTTCATCTCCCTGATGCCCACCCCCCTCAACCCCCAGAAAGCCCCCTCCAGCCCCACCTGACTTAAGCAGCCGGTCCAAACGCTCAGGCTTAGGGAGAGTCCTGCGGGAGAGGCGGGGGCTGCGGGTGGAGGGGGTGGAGGCCGGTGAGGTGGGCTCCGAGCTGGGGTCCCCGCCGTAGCCCACATAGCCCTGCTGACCTAGCACCTCGCGGGCACAGGCCTGGCACACGTTGTGCATGCAAGGCAGCACCAGAGGCTGCTTGTACATCTCCTGACACACGGGGCACAGCAGCTCCTTCTCCATGTTCTTCATGCTCGTCTGCGGAGGCATCAGGGGCTCGCGTCAGAGTTGGTGCCGCTGCGGCTGCCGGACCTGGGCCCGACCCCGCCCTGGTTCTCCCCTCCCTCCGCATAGCCTCTCCCGCAGAGCAATAGACCTGGGGAAGAGGATCCCCCGCCGCGCCCCCTGGCTGGAGGACGCAAGGTGGAGCTCCGGGCATCCCCCTGCCTCCAGCCCAGCTCCTCGCACGGGGTCGCGTTCTGCACCACGCGGCCCAGGCACTTGTCTCAAGGACACCGCCCTTCTGCAGCTCGCTGCAGTGGGACCCCCGCCCCACTCGCTCGCGTGCCCCCACCCCCGCGTGACTCCTCCCTGGAGCCTCGCCCTCCATCCCTCAGCTCACCCCGCTCCTCGGCCTCCTGCGGCGGCTCTGGCCAGCGGCCGCCCCAGGCCCCATCCCTCACCTGTGCCGTTCCCTCCCCGATCCCCCGATCACAAGCTACCCCATTTCCCTTCGCCCCCCACTCTCCGCTCCCTCTCCTTCCCCCAGCGCCCCCAGGACAGCCGCAGCCCCCTTCCCGGGGAGGGGGGGACCCGCGGGTGCCCCGCCTCCTCGCCCCCTCCCCACCGGAAGTGCCCCTCCCTTTGGGGGCGGCGGGGGTCCTGGAGCGGCGCCCCACCCCCACCCCTCACCTTGGTCCCTCTCCTCGCAGCCATCCCGGTCAGGGGCGCAGCTGACACAAAGGAGGGAGGGACAGGGAGGGAGGGGGAAGGAAGTGGGGGGGAACAGGGTTGGCACCGCCCCTGGGAGCGCCGGGCACGAGTTGTCATGACAACCGCAGGCTCGGAGGCAGCCCCGCGTGGGGGTGCGGTGGGGTGGGGTCTCGCAGAGGGGTGCAAATTGGGAGCTGCGCCCCGGGAGGCCCCTTCACCGCTGCCACCCCACCTGGCCCAGGTTTTCTCGGAAAACGGCTAAGCTTGCACACACACACACACACACACACACACACACACACACATGCACACACACACGCGCACACACGCGCGCCCGCTCCGCTGGCGCGGGCCCGGGCGACTCCGGGGTTCGCACAGCCGGCAGATGGACGCCTGCTCTGCGCTCACCTCGGGCTCACCCCCAACACCACTCTCACGCCTGCGCCCTCCTGCCCTCCGCCTCTCGCCGGATCTCCACCTGTTCAAGGTGCCAGCCTGCCCGGACCCCTGGTCAGCCCTCCCCGACCTTGCGATCGCCCCCTGACTCACACTGATGCGGACCAGTGCGTCCATGATGGAAGTTAAGGTCTGCATGTCTTCGCCCTCAGCCATGGCCCTAGCATGCCCGCCCGCCCCCGTGCCGGGTCCTGGCTGCGGCTGCGAACCCCGGGCTTAATGCAGGAGCCGGGTGGGGGTGTGGGGGGGCTGGGGAGAGACGCCACTGCGCATGCTCCAGGGAGCGGCCTCGCGGCGCGGGTCGGAGTAGGAGGTGGGAAACCTCCCCACGTGGTTCTCAGAAGGCGGCGGTGGGGAGGGGGCGTGCAGGGTGACATGAAATGGTATTTGAGGGAAGATCCAGGGCTCCTGTTCGCCTTTCTCATTGGCTCCCTCTATGAAACGGACGGGCCTTTTTTAGAGGAAGATGGACTCCAGGATAGGGTTCGGTTTGGGCTTGGGCACGGGTGCTGACATCGAGATCTGGGATCCTGGAGCCGGGGGGAAGGGTTGAGGAATAGCGCTGGCCTGCATGGCAAAGAAGACAAAGGAGGGCTCGGGGCTCTGGGCAGTGACCTCAGCCGCTTGCAGGTGCGCAGCTGGCACCGAGAGGCTGCCAGCTCTGCCTGGGCTCTGGGGAGCGCGGGTCAGCAGGGCGGTGGCCAGTGCTGCGCTTCGGTGCAGTAGTTCCTCCCTGACCGAAGAGGGCGCCGCGCCCTGCGGCCCAGGGAGAACAGAAGGGGCGGAGGCGAGAACGCGAGTCCACGGCTGGGGCTGACGCATGCGCACCGCCCCCTGATCCCGGTTCGACTCCCCTCGCTTCTTGGCCAGAGGCGCCGATTGGACCCACGGGCAGAGCATGATGGGTAACGGAACCAGCGGGTTCCCGGGACCGGCTCGTTGGGGTGCTGGGACTTGGAGCGAGCCCGCTTCCCGGGCCCTGTTCTCGCAGAGCTGACGTGTCCTGGGCCGCAGAGGGCGGGCGTTGCCTGGGGAGGGGAGTGTTGAGGCCCCCGGGTGGGGGGAGAGGAATTCCCGGGGGTCTTCGCGAGCGGTGGGCGTTGGGGCTCGGGATGGGATGCTCGGGAGCCGGCTCAGGGGGCGGCCGACGGCGCCCGTGACTCGCGGAGGAACGGGCCGCGCTGACCGTGTCTGCTCGCAGTGGTGGGTACCGGCACGTCGTTGGCTCTGTCCTCGCTCCTGTCCCTGCTGCTCTTCGCTGGAATGCAGATGTACAGCCGCCAGCTGGCCTCCACCGAGTGGCTCACCATCCAAGGGGGCCTGCTGGGTTCCGGCCTGTTCGTCTTCTCGCTCACCGTATCCTGGCGGGGGGGGGGGGGGCACAGGCAGAGACGGGGGCTTTTGGGGGGCAGGGGGTGGGGAGAAGGGCAAAGCGCCCCTTGGCTTGCACGCCCGGCTCCTTAACCCCCTCAACACAGGCCTTCAACAATCTGGAGAACCTTGTCTTTGGCAAAGGATTCCAAGCCAAGATCTTCCCCGAGAGTAAGTGGAAATTGTGCATATTTGAACCCTCACCTGGTTTCTACCCCCAACTCTCCTCCTTCGGTTGAATTTCTAGTTGTTGCTGTGGGGTCGGAAGAAATCTGTTGTCTGCCAAGACTGGAGCTCAGGGATGCTCTTGAGGGGCCAGAGCAATAATACAGCTGGTAGGGCGACCAGAGCTGACCAAGATTCGATAGTACCTGGTCCTCTGAGCACCACTGGGAGTGATTCCTGAGTTCAGAGCCAGGAGTATGTCTGGAGCATTGCCAGGTGTGACCCCAAAAAAAGCCAAACAAAAACGATGCTCTTGAGGCCAGCACTCACCCAGCTTCTGGAGTGGAGCTGGAAGAGACCTCTGAGAGCCAGAAATTCTCCTTCCTTCTGGCCTGAAACTGGGGAAAGTTTGCAGGGAACCAGGCCATTGTGCTGCCTATTGTCCTGGAAAGTCCTGGAAAGATACTTTGTTCCCATCAGAAGTAGCTGGAGTTCTGGTGGAGACCTGATGTGAAATTGATTCAATATTTAGGAATCCTTTAAGAATCCTGGGTGGGAGAGACAATACTTTGGCTAAGGCTCTGGTCCACTGTGTTCAAGCAGGGACATTGTATGTACAGCATCCCCAAGCCCTGCCAGGAGTGATCCTTGACCATGGTAGCTAGTGCTCCCCAACCCTCTGGGGAAGCAAAGATAGCAGCCGCATTTCCTGCCCTCTAGATATTGCTCCTTGCACTCGCTTGTCTCAGGTATGCAGAGCCCAGTCCAGCAACTCCAGGATTTCTCCCTCAGTTTTTGTTTCCTTGTATACTGTCTTCGTGGGCTCCTAAGGAAACTTTTGGGGCCCTCTTTGCTTCCTAGCAGGGCAGGTGGGATTTCATTCTGGCATTCTGCCCTTCCACTTTCTCCAGGCCTGCCATGTATCACCTCTCCTGTTTTCCTGTAGTGTTTGCAGAGGAAAGTCAGGGTAGAGGAGTCACATCCTCCCCCACTCCCCCCCCCCCATGTCCCATTCTCTTTGAACTCATTGGTATCTTGTGAACCCTGCCAATCAGATGTCAGTAGATTTAGAGGGCCCAGATTGTTCCCAGATCCACATGTGAATGCTGGGGTTTCTGCTCTGACCACTGCCCTCCTTGTCCCCTCTCACCTCCCTAGTTATCCTCTGCCTCCTGCTGGCTCTCTTTGCATCTGGCCTCATCCATCGGGTGTGTGTCACCACTTGGTAAGTGACTGACAGCTGGGAAAGGGGGTGCAACACCTTTGTTCTGAACCTTTGGCATCTACATTTACCATGTAATCAACACCGCCATGTCATCCTGGCACCCCATTTTTAAGTGGTAATGTCTTGATTTTAAACTATGCTCGAACCTGGAGCAATAGTATAGTGGTTAGAGTGGGTAAGGTATTTATTTACCTTGCATGCGGCTGACCTGGGTTCAATCCCTGGCATCCCATGTGGTCCCCCAAACCCACAGAGAGTGATCCCTGAGCTCAGAGCCAAGATTGAACCCTGAGCAACGCTGGATGTGACCCAGAAACAAACAGAAAGCAAAAATGGCTTCACATTATGGTCGTACCTCACTTTTAGGGTAAACAGTCTGGCCTATGGCTAGAGCGATGATAGTACAGCAAGTAGGGTGCATGCCTTGTAGCAACCTGAGTTCAATTCCCAGCACCACATAGAGTTCCCAGGCCCATCCAGGAGTGATCCCTGAGCACAAAACCAGGAATAAGATCTAAGCACCTCCATATATGGCCCCCAAATCAAACAAAACCAGCCAATCTGATTGGGTGGAGTAATGGTACAGCAGATAGGGTATTTGCTTTGCATAGGGTCAATCTAGATTCGATACCAGCACTCCATATGGTCCCTGAGTCCGCCAGGAGTAATCCCTGAGTGCAAAGCCAGGAATAAACTGGGTGAGCACAGCTGGGTGTGGCCCCAAAACAAAACAAACAATCTGGCATAGACTTGGACATTTATGCCATTTATGCCGTGAAATGTGGTTCCTCCCTCCTCCCCTACATCCTTCCTCCCCTTTCCCTCCTTCGCCCAGCCTCTTCTCCCCGAACCTGAGCCTGGATTCTTCCCAGTGTTGGTGCCAGCCCTAGGTGGCACCTGGCTGGCAGTGTTGCCCCCTGAGAACGTGACCTTTGCCTTCCCCCGCAGCTTCATCTTTTCCATGGTGGGGCTGTACTACATCAACAAGATCTCGTCCACTCTGTACCAGGTCTCAGCACCCGTCCTCACACCAGCCAAGGTCACAGGCAAGGGCAAGAAGAGAAACTGACCCCGCGTGTCTAATAAAGTTCATTCTTTGTAGCTCGGGCTCTGATGCTGGGGGGTGGTGGAGCGGCGCCCCGAGGGCTCAGGGCTGGGGATGGAGGACCTTGCCTTGGCACCAAGTCTTTCTCAATTGCCATCCTGCCAGACAGCTTGACAGGCCTTGGTGTGGCACATGAAGTTGCGTCATGGGTGAAAAGCGGGGACAGATCTGAGGTCTCTGGAACAGCCGACGCCTGCCCATCGGTTGGCTGATCTTGGGACAGGAGTAGGAAGAGAGGAAAGGCCCTTAACTCTGACAGCTCCCTTTTGGGGTCCCTTTGATGTGTGTGGGCTTTGTCACTCCATTTCCTCCCCTGAGCAGACGCCGTCCCTCCCTTTCTGCCCTGGTCCACTCCTGGCTGCAGTTCCCTGTAATGGCAAATCATCCCATTTGTTAATTCCTGTTTAGAGTAGGAAGACTCCCTGGTTTATCTCTGCCCCCTTTGTTCTGAGACCTTCATCTTTGTCTATTGTCTCCCAGCGGAGATCAGGAACTTGCCAAGTTTTAGCAAAGTATATAGAACAATAGGCAGAAGGCCTTCGACCTCGTCCGACCCCAGAGGCTTCTCAGGGGCTGCTTTGTACCCCAGGATAAGGAAGATGAAGAGGATCCCTCTGTCATCTCCTAGAGTATATCACACTGCCATGGCCACTTTGTATCCCCACCATGCCTACAGTGAAAAGGCCAAGGGATAGGGCAGAGTGTAGGCCGCTTGCCTTGTGCGCAGCCAACCCAGGTTTGATCCCCAGCACCTCCACAAGGGATTCCTGAGCACCACTGGGTATAACCCCAAAACCAACCAACCAAACCAAAATACCACTGGTGAGGGGCCAGAATGATAGGCCGACCCAGGTCCAGTCCTAAGCATCCCATATGGTCCCCTGAGCACCACCAGGAGTGGGAGTGATCCCTGAGTGCAGAGCCAGGATTAACCCTGGAGTATTGCCTGGTGTGACCTCCCCCCGCCCCAAGCCCAAACAAAACCCACTGGTGATTGGTTGAATGAAAGAATGCCTCTGGGCTCAGCAGAGGCTGAAGCGGATGGTGGATTGCTGAGGCCCCAGGTTTGATTCCTGCACCACCTACTCATACTCTTCTTTGCTACCAGCCACTGGGGGTGGTAGCCTTCAGCCTTGCTGAGTACAAGCATCACTGGACAGAGCGTAGCTGAGAGTGGCCTCCTGGCTCCCAAAACACTGCTTGGGAGACCCACTCACCCCCAAACAAAAACCAAATGTGTTATGTTTTGTGGGCCCCACCTGATGGTGCTCAGGGCTTAACTCCTGGCTCTGCACCTAGAGATCACTCTTGGTGGGCCTGGGGGTGGGTGGGTACCATATGGAATGCTGGAGATGGATGATGCCTGCAGGCAAGGCCAGTGCCTTATTTGCTAGACTATCTCTCCATCCCCCAAAATATGCCTTTCTATACCATCAAACTGTGGAAGAAGTGAGTCAAAGGCGGTCCCCACCCCACACTTCCCTTTTGGTGGGGAGGCCGGCGAAGGAGTTTGGCACCTGGTGGTGCTCAGGTGATACTCTCTGCTCCTCTCAGGGTCAGGGGTCATTCCTGACAGTGCTCAGGGGCTCATGCATGTGCCACCAGGGGTTAAATCCAGTCCTTCAGCATACAAAACTTGTGGCCGCTGAGCTGTTATGGGTCCACTCCTACTTGCCATGCAGGGCCCCCAGCTTCCGGAGGGGGGTGTGTGCAGTCTCCCGGGGTTCCAGCAGAGGCCGCCACAAGCCCACAGCTCAGCATTCTCAAGCTCCTTTGCCCAGTGGTGGGAGGGTTGGATTTCTCAGCCTGCAGATTCCTTGTGGAAACGTCTTGGAGGACCCTAAAGATTGGAGTCTGAAGCCTACATCAAGCCTCTTTGCCACAGTCCACCTTGCTCTCTCCAGACTAGAAGCTGGGGCGGAACTGAGTAGAGACTTCAGTCTTGAGTGGGAATGGCAGTTTTAGGAAATCACCAAGGGATATACTTGATATACTAGTGCAGGAGCACTAGTATAGCAGTTGGAGCACTTGTCTTGCATGCGACCAAGCCAGGTTCAATCCCTGGCACCCCATAGGGTCCCCTGAGCACCGCCAGGAGTGATCCCTGAGCACAGAACGAGGAGTCAGCCCTGAGCACTGCTGGGGGCGGTTGCTGTATGCTGGGTGTATCTTTCTGTGCAGGTACCTGGCCCCAAACCCAGCTCGTAGTACTTCTGGGACCAAACCTCAGCCTCACCCCCCAACTTGGAGTCCTGGAGCGCTGGGAGTACTTTCTGAGAACCACTAGGAGTTGCTCAAAAAAAAAAAAAAAAGGAGGGGGTTCATAATGAAAGGTATGGCACTTGCTTTCCACGAAGTTGACCAATCCCTGGGTCACCCAGTGCTACCAGAGTTGAACCCTGAGCACAGAGCAAGAAGTAAAACCTGAGCACTACCTGGTGTGGCCTTTCCACCCCCTGAGACACCCAAACCCCAAAATAACAATCTTTGTTTTGGTGGTGCTAGGTATCAAACATGGGGCCTCACATATGCAAGGCAAGTGCACATCTTGTTTGTGTTTGGGGAGTTTGGGCCATGCAGTGCTACTCAGGGGCTACTCTGTGGGAGGGGGTTGGACCACACCCTGCAGTGCTCAGGGATGATTCCTGGTTCTCAGGAACCATTCCTGGTGGGCTCGGGGGGATCATGGAGTGCCAGGGATTGAACCCAGGTTAGCTGCGTGTAAGGTAAGCCAGCACCCTGTTCACTGCATCATCTCTCCAGCCCCCTAAAAGAAAGTTTTAAAAAAGGGCCCAGTGAGTTTGATCCCTAGCACCTCCAGGAATGACTCCTGAGCACAGAGCAAGCAGTAGCCCTGAGCACTATTGGGTGTGATCCCAAAACAGCCTAGACCTACTGGGGGTGAGGGGAGGCTGGGCTGGTTCTAGGTTTCACTTTATTTGACGAGGCACAGGGGAGCTCCCTAATACTGTCCAGAGGCCACCCAGAGGGATCCTTGGTCAGTCGAGGGTTCCGTGCCTGAACTGGTGAGGGGAGCAGGCCCTGTGATGCCAGGGGCCCAGCATGTTGGGGACAGCTCGGGGGCGCCCTTACCTGGGGGCTTGTGCCCTGGGCTTCTCCCAGTCTCAGACGCACTGTGTTGTGTTTGGGGGCTGGGCAGTTGCAGGCCAGGGGCTTGCTCTCACCCCCAGGCCCCCTCCCTAAGCCCTCTCCCTGGCCCTCCGCCCTCCAGGTTGCCCTTTCTTTAGACTTGGTTTTTGGGCTTGAGCCATGAGCCATGGTCCAGAATGGTATACCTGCCCAGCTAGCCTGGATCTGTGGCCATGACTGTGGTTCAAATTCCATACCACATTAGGGTTGTCCCCCAGCCCCAGCCCCTGCCCCTGCAGTCTCACCAGGTGTGCCCCCTGAGTACCACTGGGTGTGACTCCAAAACAAAAAGGGACCAGAGAGATAGGACAGGTGTTAAGGCATTTGCCTTGCAGGCAACCCATCCGGGTTTGGTCCTACCACCCCAGAGGGTCCCTTGGTCCCCAGCTGGACTCCCTGAGTGCAGAGCCAGGAGTCAGCTCTGAGCACAACAAACAAAACCCAAGATGTGACTGTCTCCACTGGCCCCGGAGGCAGCAGCGCAGGGGCAGGGGCCAGCTCAGGTGAGCAGGGCCAGGCAGGGACCTGGGGAGGAAGAGAGGGTGGGGAGGCTCTGGAGAGCAGGTGCCCAGTAGCCCTAAGGACAGGCCACCTGCTGCCACCCACTGTCGGCGGGGGTGGGGGTGGGGGTGGGGGGCACTGGCCTGGAGTAATGACCCCTTCCCCAGGCATTTACAAGGCAGCTCGGCGCCAAGCTGGGCTCCCCACCCAGCCTATCAGGGGTGCCTAGTTACAGGCTGCTGCGGCCCCTGAGCTGCCAATTAGCCATGCCAGGGGGACCCCAGCCACCTAATCACCATCATTAAGTGAGGGGGTGTGAGGCCAGCAGGGCTCCTGTGGACCGGAGGAAGGTGAGAGGGCAGAGGTGCTAACCTCTTGAGCCCTAGGCCCCACCCCCACCCCGGGCCTAAGACCTGGGGGAGCGCGGGGCGGTCCCCACCACAGGACAGAGGGAAGCCAGATGTTTCCTCCTGCTCCCTCACACGTGGCCCCGACACCCGGCAGCTCCTGCCGCCAGCTCCGGAAACAGGAGTAAATAATGCTTGGGGGGGGTGGCGGTCACGGACAGGCTGCAGGGAGGTGCCCGGCCCAGGAGGTGGCGCTGCCAGAACTGACGCTCCCCGCCCGGCCGCCCGCGGGGACAGAGACCCTGGGACTGGCCCTGGCAAGGCGGGCTGCCCGGCACAGAGGGCACCGCGGAGGGTCAGAGCGGGGGTGCGGTGCCCAGGGCAGGAGGGCTGGGGGTGGGGGAGCCTGCGCCAGCCTTGGCTCCAGCCCTTTCCGGCCCTTATTGTCCGTGGTGAGAACAGGACGCGGTCTTGTTCCCACTGCCTGGCCCCCCCAGCCCCGCTCCCCAGGGGCCCTGGAAGGATGTTGGGAAACAAGAGAGAACCAGAGACCCGGAGAGGCAGAGACGCCGAGAGACGCCGAGACAGATACAAAGGGGACCCCGCCGGTGAAAAGCGCGCACCGACGGCATTGTGCGGGCGCTGTGGGAACGCGAGGGGGCTGCCGGGCCGGGCCATGCGCGCTCCGGGACGCGCTCCGGGGTCACTCTCAGAGTCGCCTCGGGAGCCAGCAGGGGCAGGGGCTCGGCCCCGTATCTTCCACCAGCTCACACAGCCGGCATGCATTCATCCCAGGGCTGCACCCGCGGGGGACAGGGCCCAGACTCCGCTCCTGCAGTCCAGCCTCCAGGCTGAGAGCGGCCCCCGGAGCAGGCACTGGCCTGGTAGTAGTCTGCACTCTAGCAGAGAGAGACCCCGGGTTGGCCCAGGAGTCAGGAACCGCCTGTCGCCTGCTCTTGGCCTGGGGCATTTTTCCTTCCTTCCCACACCCACAGTTC